GTGTGTGTGTGTGTGTGTGTGTGTGTGTGTGTGTATAGTGTGTGTGTGTGTGTGTGTGTGTGTGTGTGTGTGTGTGTGTGTAGTATCGTGAGTGTCAGTGGGCATTTGAATGCAGTCATACATCCCTTTAGTTGTGCCGATAAATTAACAAAATGAGAATAGATCTATGTACAAAAAAAGACTTAGATTTTCCTGGAGATTTAAACTTTCCGATTTTCTGTTTTGATATAATTACTGTTTTTTTTTTTCCTTTTTTTCTGTTTATGTTGTGATCTAACGACGGTTTTGTCATATTGCTATCAGCGGCGACGGAATAAATGGGTATATATACGTCAAACTACGCTTGTACTCACCTTTAATATCCATCAACACTGTCATCCACTCTCTTATAACACACGGGTCACCTATTTCTTCGAGCACTAACGTCCTTGATATAATTTTCAACATCACCTGCACACAACTTAATAAGTTCATATTAATGAAGAGTTTGAATACCTTTGTGTCAATGCACAATGGCACGATGTAGGAGTGAGTTGTTTCGAAAGCTTTCTAGTGGTTATGCCTCTAGTGATCATACCCACCGTGTGTGTGTCACATGTTTGTAATACTTGGTGTCAACGAGTTCAATCATTCTTGGAAAATATGTTTTCGAACTGTTAATCAGATATTTGACTGGATAACCTATTGTACAGTTGATTTATATTGATTTGATTGCTATGTGATTTTCAGTTCAGTTTACTAGTATGTTAGTCTTCTGTTAAGTCTGTCCTATTATTTTATCATATTCCGTTGTTGTACTTTGTATGTTTTAATTGGACTCCGGGAAGAATAGTGGAAAATGTATTCACTAAATGAAGATCTAAATAAACCAAACCAAAACTACTCCTCCATTGTAGGCATTCGCGGTAAACGGTGTCCTGAAGGTTCACCCCTTCAACAAAGAGAATGGAGAAGTCGTCGCCGATAACAACAAAGACAATGAGAAGAACGCTGAGAATGACGAGGACTTTGATGAGGACGTGGCTCAGGCCATGGCGGAGAGCGACGAGCGGGGACAGATGATCGCAGCCAAGATCGACCTGGTGTCCAAGATCTTCTTTCCCGCGACTTTCATCTTATTCAACATCATCTACTGGGCGGTGTATATGGGCAGTTACGAAGGAAAGGTGTAAAGTTGGGAATCATTTGCCCTGGCACATGCAGAATGTACATTTTGTACATTCAGGCAGAATCGTGAAACTATAACTGACATGGCAAGAGCTTGAATTATATCATTATGAAGGAAATGTGTAAAATTAATAAAGTTTGCCCATGTACATGAAGAATGTAGATTTGTACAGACAAAATCCTGAAACTATAATTGGCATGGCAAGAGCTTCGACTATATCTGTACTTAAGAAGAAAAGGTGTAAAATTTGCCCAAGATTCTGTACAGATAGAGTCCTGAAACTACATCATGTACATAAGTTTACATGACAAGAGCACCGAATCATAGCTAGACGAACAGTGTATATAATGTACCATGCATTTTCATAGGCTGGTATCCACATCTACTATTTGCTGGGACTTCGAAAGAGATTTGACAGTTAAAATACTAGTACTACTAGGTTTGGATACCAGGTTGTCGATGGCGTCTTGAGCAAAATATGCACTAAAGCCTGTTGATACACAGGCTGCACTTTGTGTTTTATCACTGTAATATATCGTGCTACTGTATACATGTACTGTACTTGTGCATAAGGAATAAAATATATGGTTGCATGAGAGCAGGCAAAGTTCACTGGGTAACAATTAAGTAAAAGCAACACATGGATAATGTCTTCACAGCAATAACATTACTGGATTTGTGGGAGTAGGATATCGATGTGACACGATTTTGCTACTGCTATATAGAGTCAGAATCTTCAGTATTCATATCTTCATAGTCACTGGAGAGTGTAAATGCGTATATAGATATCATGGTCTCTCAAGAGTCAATGGATGGAGAGCTCTATAGCTACTGGAATTGGTCCAAATCTAATAAAATTGATTGAAAATCACTGTAAAAAGTGTCGACTAGTGTGTCTATAGTTCCAATTCGTTTAGGCTGTAACAGAGTTATATAGTAATGGAGCTTTATTTTTACATTTATCTTCCCTTTTTACTTTGACGAATTCGATTTAATTAAATTGTGATTGCTAACTTGTTAGTAACTTTATTGCAACATAATTTATGTGGTGGATGTCATATCCTTTCCTGTTCCCTTCCGGATAAAAAAGCACGTCGGCACTAGCTAGAACAGCGATATATTGTCTAACTTGTCTATGATGACGATACGTATGATATAATTATCATACTAATAGTGCCTTAGTTGCATTTCGGCCAGTAAGACAACATTGAGTCCAAAAAGTGCAATAACACCCCTGCGTGCCAGAATGGTCTCGCCCGAATCTAATTCGACCGTCGCGGTGCATCACGGGAAGGCTTGCTTTTTTTGAACGGCCAAAAAAATGGCGGGCGGTCGCGATGTTTTCGAGGTAGGTGCACTTGATTTATCTGGTTTAATCACGTTATTCCAGCCTCTGCCGTGACATGATTAGGTTTAAGACACGCACAGAATTTAGGGGCAGGTTTCTATGTGCCCTAACTTTGATGACGTGCCCTCACAAATCGTATATTTACACGGTTGCGTCTTAGGTTAGTGTCTTGGTCGTCAAGCGATGATCGTCGTAAAAATTTATCTGTTCAAAAATGCACCATAATTTGTAAGAAGCAAAAAGCAGTATCGTGAAGTTGACGTAGAAATACACACACTGGATTGACGTGTTTGCCAAGATATAACAACCTTTGTTATGAAGTGGGGGACATAAACTATTTGTCCTTGGAAGTTGGATGTGTGTTTGTGTTGTGAGCCTTGTGGCGGCCGGCTGGGTGATGACGCGCTTCTGTCCTTGACCGAGATGTCGGTACAAGATCGTTACCGCCCCAGGACAAAAGGCTACAGATGCAGCCTTCCGGGGTTCTGTTATCACCCAAATTTTGTGTATAGTATCAAGGTATAGTCCTAGAGTCATATCATTGTCTGCCAATCACAATCAAGCAAAGGCAATAAAAGATTCTTGGTTAATGGTTTTGGACTGAGTGAGAGCCACCCACCAAATATTTCCAAATTTTGACATTCTTCAATATTGCAGGACACTGCAAAAAAGTATTTCCACTTATACTAAACAAGGGCTCGAACATTTGACCAACTTGTCCAGGTGGAGGGAATCCTTGACCAGTGTACACGGCGCGGCAGGTCATTGAAGTATTCAATGAATAAAAAAGTGCTCTAACAAACTGTTAACAAACAAACCGACTTCTCCAGGTGGAGGGAATCCTTGACCAGCGCACGCGGCGGGGCAGACCTGAGTACCTGATCAGGTGGGCGGGGTTTGACGAGGATGAGGATACCTGGGAGCCGGAGAAGAACCTGGTCGGCTGTGAGGAGATCCTGGAGGAGTGGAAGAGGAGATGGCTCGCCGCACAAACCCCAAGGGTAGCCTCACGTTTTATTTGTAAATCATACAAGCTATTGACTAACAGTAACACTAACAGTAACAGTTGGGAGCGTGCTGCTAAACACCCCATGGCCCATGTAAAATAACTTCAATGTACCAGAGATTCTGGAGGAGTGGAAGAGGAGATGGCTCGCCGCACAAACCCCAAGGGTAGCCTCACGTTTTATTCGTTTCTAGGACAGTAGGACTAGTAGGAGTTTATTAATCTGGACAGAGAGACTGAGAGAGTCCAAACTACCCAAGAAGATGTAACATTAAGTTAACGATTAACTTGGGAGCAATAAAATCTGGTTTATGTGGACGGGTAGTCACTATAGACAGGATTTTTCAATGAGAAAAATAACCCCGGTATGATGTACAGTATCTAACTTCTAAGATAAGACACCACCAAAAAGTGGTCAGGTTGGCTAGGTGTTTTTGGTCAACTCAAGTAGATTTTACTGAGGTGATAAATCACAGCTTACACACTTTCCTATAAAGAATCTTGTGCTGATTCACTGCTTGTGCCTTTGGTAATCCTTTCCCTTACAATATGTACATATGAATTCCTAACATTGTTAGTAACAATATATATTTATAACAACATCCTTCATGTCCTTATTCCTATTTCCCAGAGATCAAAGATCCTGAAGCCCATCTTCAAGCCCCCTCCCACACCTCCGTCCACTCGAAAGCGGGCAGTGAAGAAGGTGGAAGAAAAAGCAGAGACCAAGACAGGGACTCCAAGGGGAAGACCCAGGAAGGCAGCTGCACCCACACCGAAAACTAAAGTACCAGTAAGTTTCATTAGGGATTCATCCTTAAGTTTTAAGGCAGATATTCCTCATCAGTGGTTAAAATACTTTTTTTTTTCAGTTATCTGCAATATTGTGGAATATTCAAAATTTTGTTCTGCAATTTGGAAATACTTTCTGCAAATGCACAAGCCTCAATACTACAACCTTCCCAAACCAATAATGCCTTTTTTTACATCAATTCATATATAGCTTTGTAAATCTGTAGCATTATTGGAATTCTTTTAAGTTTAATCTATCACTCTTTTTAGTTTCAGACTTTATAGATCCTTCTCCACCGAAAATTTATATTTTCATATTGCACATTTGTACCTTTACTAGTAACTGTTGATGATGTCTACTCTAAGCAACATTTTTCATGCAAATTTACAGACTTGTGTTTTCAGCTGTCTGTTGGTAGTGTGGTAAAAGTAAACCTTTAAATTTCTTTGCCACGTTCAACTCATATGAATTGTACGCAACTTACATTTCCAACCCATAAGGTCATCACCGTGAGTGAAAGTGAAGAGGAGACATCAGTAGTGGTGAAAGTGGCTCAGATTACAGCCAGTAACTCTGCAGCTCATGCAGAGAAAAAGGAAGAAGTTGCGAAAGTTGCTGAAAACAGTGGGCAGAAACCTGTGTCCACACATGTGGGAAAACAACTGCTCAACTTCCAGAAAGTCGCAGCCCAAGAACAGGAGATAGCTAAGAAGGTTCCTGCCTATATCATGTTGTCGGCACTTCTGATGAAAGAATGCACCCCAACAATGGTCAAGACTAACTCACTTAGTAACTGCATGTGTAGCATGCAAGACACAATCCATTAAAAGCATGCAGCACATTAATTAGCACAATCACAATCTTAAAAATTCAACTAAGCAATGGTGGGAGAAAGGGTTCATTTTGCATGTTGAATGTCAACTGAATCTACGGGAAAATGCATGACCTAAAACATAAAAATGCCTTGTTTTCAGGAGACCTGCATGCACTGCCTAGACAAAAGGAATCATTCTCCATTCTTGAAGTCAATGCTTCAAAGAAATTTCTGACCCTCTATGCCTTGTTGTTGTTGTTTTCCTAATACTAATAGGTTACGCCGAGCAGAAAAACCCACATCGTGACTGTGACAGAGTCTGACCAGGAGTCTGACCAGGAGTTGAGGCGGTCAGCGCTGCGGTCCCGAGGACTGACCAGACAGGTGTTCTCCGCGGCCAGCACGGCCAGCTCCGTCACCACCAGGCAGGAGAGTTCGGAGGTCGCTACCATGACGACGAGGTCGGCGGCTGTGAAGCAGGAGACCCACGTGGAGACGCCGGTGTCGTCCAGGCTGACCAGGGCGTCTCTCAACTCCGTACGGGACGGCAAGGTCGGGGTGAGTCATGTTTGTGGGAGGTTTGGTTATCACATGTGTAGTAGTAATCTGTATTTGTGTGTACATCTGTATGGTTGTGTGGTTGAGGACATTATTTAGAACTGGACCATTCCCAGTCTGTACAAGTATACAGTAATACTACTAGTACAGTATTTTCTCACTACTACTAGTACTAGTACAGAATTTTCTCAAAGGAAGATAGAGCCCTACATATGCAAGACTTAGTGTTCTTTTGCAAGTTTTCAACTTTCGGTGAATCAGTGCCAAATGTATCTTGTAACAGTTGTACACTTGGGTTCAATGCTTCTCTGCCTTGCTTGCCAAATGTAGTTCACAGTTGTGTTGAATGCTGAAAACTTCATTTTACAATTTTGTCAAAGACGTTTTAAACTTTAACAGTCTAAGTTTCACATGTTCTATCCCTTGCCCTCCCCAGCTGTTTTCGGGAGCCAGGTCCAGAGTTGCAGTGAGGATGGGGAAAGTGCGCAGGCTGCTGACCTGTCACAACTTCCTCAACCTGGTGTTTGTGGTCTGCATGGGAGCCGTCTTCTACACACTGTTCTTCCTCAAGAAGTAGCCGTGGACTTACATGTACTGTAGCTGTGGACAGGTGTTTGTTAGGCCTAGGAAAGAAATAGTGTGTTTCCTGTTTCCCAACCAACTCTAGAAAAAAACTGCCAACCCTAGCCTTTTTGTGTGGATCCCTGCAGAGGACATAGATTCTAGAAATAAGAAAGAAAGAAATTTAATACCTACCTACGGACCCTAATTTTTTTCAGAACTGAAACAGGAAACAACATTTTTTCCTAGGCCCTAGAGTATATATAAGGGTTTACATATTTTAATCTGAAGAAACTTAATAAAAGGATTTTCAGGTGCTAAATTTTGAGATGATTTTCCAGGTGCAGTCTACTGTCTTTAGTGTCAACTGGTGTTCAGGTACAGGCGCACCAAATGTTCAGGTTTGGAACTTTAGCTACTTGATTTTACAGGTATAAGGTACAGAGCCCTAGTACCAACTGATTTTAGCTATCCTAAATCTGTTTTGATTGTGCCTCTAAATTCTAAGGGTAACTAACATGTACAACATTCCCCTCATAATCAACTTCTGTCAGGTTTTTGAGGTGGGAAAGTTTCATGAGACAAAATGAAGGTTCCATGTGTCAGTGTCTTGCCTTCTTCTTGTACGTTTGTAAATTTTTTTTCTTACATCAAAGTAGATCTTGTCTTTCAACAGAACGTACTTGCCATATTGGTGTTTGAGGTTTTATTGTATTCTTTCTTTAAATTCTCTATTGGCTTATTGTTCAAGCAAGTGTTCATTGCAGTCAAAGCCTTTTCTATGAAATTGCCAGGATCATTTGTGTAAAAGAGCATTGTGTACATTCAGCCAGCAGTGGTGGTTGTAATGACTACACATGATATGGTATTTCTTTAACACTACCTCACTATGTACATTGTAGCAGCTGGAACATCTCTACCAATGTAGTAGTCATCACAGTAGTCCTAGTTCTTCATTAGCACCTTTATTGAAATGAAGATATGTAGACATGATCATTTATCTAAAGTGCCTTTGTACTTAATGATACGTCACATTATGATCATATACACATAGCCAGATGTGGTTGTCCCATCAACTCTCAGTTTTAAGAGCTATATTGTCTCAATGGTGAGTGAAAATTTGGACTCTTATCCCCTCCCCTCTTTATAGTGAAAATCAAGTTATGAAAAATAAATTCCAAGGGATTTTCTTTTAAAAAATAGGTTATAATGGCATTATGCACATGTAACTAATTGATTGGCATTTTAGAAAAGTTGATTCTTGAGGGTGAAATTAAAGTCGGACAAGTTAAACTAAAGTTGACAATATTAGTGGTCGATCTAAATTTGCTAGAATCTGCACTATAAGAGGGTGCAGTGTGTCTGTCCCTGCTTGGAAAAAAGGAAACTGGTACAGACTGTATTGGGGACATAGAAATATGTATGTTGCATACATATAAATCGATAATGGTGATGTACAAAAATGACATACAGCAGAATCATAATGTTTTGAGATGAAAAAAAAAATGGTAGTTGTAGAATATCATGTAACACATGATTGGACTGCATACATTGTATGAAAGAAACCAAATTTGACATTAGACATGTACATGTATTTCTGTGATGCTCCTGTATGCTGTATGAAGTAGATAGACATTGTACTACATGTACAACAGCTTGGTGTATTTATTGTCAATGTGTTGACATTTTTCTTCCAATGTTGTCGGTTTTCGACCAAGGAAAACTTCCAGGGACCAAAGAGTTAGAACTAGAGAAGAGTCAGAAGACTATGGTGTTGTGTGTGTGTTTGGGTATATTAGGAAAAGATATGTAGGGCTCATCAAAGTAAAATACCCATGTAAATAAGTGCATACTTTTGTATTGGTTTTAATGAGGTGTTAGAGCTACGTTTTTTATTTTTAGTAATTATTGTAGTTATATGTTAGATCGAATCTGTTTGAACAATTGTTTTATCATTATATATATCGCTGAGATCCTTTTGATTTTTTTTTTGCAAATTATTTTATAAGCTTTTGTGCAATGATTACAGCAAACCTTCTGGAATAAGGAAAGCTTAGCATTTTTCTGTGATTAGAGCAACTTAGACCATAATATCTGAACTGCTTGTAGATGTGTTCCTGTACAGTATTTTATGATTTTATGTGTTGCAGCAGTTGAGATGCTGGCAGCTCTAGCTTTGTAGAGGGTTGGCCTCTGAGTAGTTTGTTTTAAATACATCTGTGTTGATTGTACTTGTCTGACATTACAGTATTTTGATTTTGAAATATTTGTGGTTTTTCACTCATGGGTTAGGGGTGTTCTGTTACCATGTAGATGGAACTGAAAGCGGAAGTCCTGTGTTTTAGGAGAAACACAAATTGAGTAGTTTAAGGAACCCAGTTCAACCCACCACACATATTGTTTGATAGGAGTCCTTTCTGGTGTGACTGGATTAAAGCTACAAAAAGTCCTGAAAGTGTGTAATATAATCTGTGGCTGGTGAAGCCTTTATTGCAACATGAGGTAGTGACAAAAAATAACAACATTCACCCTTTCTGACACAAGTTCTCAATTCATGAATTGTTCATTGTTAGATCTTCCCCCGATATTACATCTGTGAGTTACATATACAGTCATCTTCACCACATGTCAGTGCTAGTCTGACTAAATTGCACTCCTTCCTGAGGGTTGCTGCAGTGAGGGTCAGTACCAGGCCTTCAAGTACCAGAGTTATCAACCAAGGATTGAGGTGTTCAAGAATTCATTCTTTCCTAGAACTATTGCAGAGTGGAACTCACTGTCACCAAGTACAGTAGGGGCATTGTCATTAGATAGCTTTAAACAAAGTCTAGAGCTAGAAGTCCAAGGGTTAGGTGTAACAAGTCGATCGGTGTAATATAGCCAGCTGCCGCCGCGCCGCGTGCCTGCAAAGCTGGTGTGTTACACCGAAAGGCGGTTATACCGGCTATACAGATACAGATACAGTAACCCCTGGCAGCAAAAGTTTGTGTTAACACAGGCTCATGTCAGTGCTTGGGCCATGGTGGGCCATCAATGTCTTCCACACTATCTTGTACAATGTGCAACATCTGTTATCTAAGTGGAAAGGAGAAGAGTCTGTTTCCACTTCTGCACTTGATCTCCTGTGCCAGAAATCCTGCCAGGGAGGGGAACTCCTCCTGGGCTTCTGCTAGGCTAGCCTGGAAAGATAAAGACATGTAGTCTTAATTACTTAGTACTCATAAATTGAGTGCAGGACTTTTTCATGCAATGCCTGAGTGATGCTGCACTACCTTGTCAATTGAGTTCAGATAATTATCTTTTTAATTGAGTTTCACATTCAGTTGCATCCCAGCCCTGGTTTTCTAAATTGCTAAGACTACTTGCCACATATAATCTGGACTCGGATGAAATTCTACTGTAGGCCTTCAGTGAAACCCTGCAGATAGCATAACATGTCTATAACACTGAAAACATCTAACCTGCAGTTTGTGGTTGAACTGCTGGGTGTCCTCGTGAGCATTCCCAACACACCATCCTACAGTCATGTGGAAAGAAGGATTCTGGAATAGAAGTAATAAACAAGTCAACACATTCAATTCAAATCCTGGTTAACTGATGGAGGTTTGCATACATGTATGTCCAAGTTCTTTGACATTAGAACTCTCCTGGCCATGGTATAGGCCAAGACTAGAATTGAACTTTTAACAGCCTAACTGGTCTCCCATGAAGGGACCTATTATAGCAAAGACCGGTACATTGTATAACAAAGGCTATGACAAGGCCCAAACTCACCTGGTAATATTTCTGCAGCCTGAATTCTCCCAGACACCTGTCAACACCTGCTACCAGCTGCAACAGGTGGTTATGGCCACCTGTGACCTCGAGGCCCAGGAATGACCTGCCAAGGTGCAAGAAGTACAGAATTAAGTTCACACCTGTGATCTGAACAAGTGGTACATTAGGGTTTCTGTTTTCACAACCAGTATAGACTCTCACCTGCTTATGTTTTTATGTTTATTACATGCCCTCCTCAGGGACTCTGACTGGAGTACTGCGTCTGTCTGCTTGTGTAAAAAGAAACCCTAATATCCTTGTTTTTACCAATTTATCGTTCAAAATTGCTGTTCAATGCAGTAAAAAATAGCTCCATGCAGAGACAACTGTAGAAGCAAGTGAAAGTGTTATTATAAATGAAATTATGTATCATCAGCATTTGACCTGATAGGAAAACCTACCTTGTTTTTTCATCGTTTGTGTACAGTTTAGCTCCTTGGAATGTGCAGAAGAATCTGAAAAAAAGAAAACAAATTCAACACTTAGACAACAGGTATGCCAGGGCAGCTAGTTACTTTACATTGAACAGCTTGTCGCACCTAATTGCACATTTATGTCCAGCTCTAGGCATTCTTGAAAGGTATGAAGACTTAGTGATTACTAGTACATGTATATTTATTTAATTTATTAAAGACACCTGGGTAGCTCCTTCAGCCAAAAGCTGATTTCCAAGGAGGCCCAGGGGGGGGGGTTTCCATAAATAAAAGAGTAATAGATTATACAAAGTACATAACAAAAAATGTAAATGAAATCAGTATAACTGGAAGTTATACATAAATAAATGAATAATACGAAGTTCAACATGAACTGAGGGAATTTACAAGAAAACATAACTTCAAATCATAATCATAATCAACATAAATCGATTGTATGACCGTAACTTGTTAGATTTGACCTGTTGCCGTACCTCTTGGTGTGTCTGAGTGTTTCCCTGAGTTCGTCTATGAAGGGCTGTATCCAGTGGTAGGTGAGGGGCACAGTTCTGGACAGACTGATGTGGTACTCCCCAGCCTGCTGCAGCTGAACCTCTGACTCCACACACCCCAGCAGGTGTCGTACTCCATCTGTAAACTCTGAGTCTGGCTCAACTGGGGGCAAGAAGAACAAAAAAGTTTCCCATTCAGCTGGATATTTGAGCTGACTATAGCCTGGGTACCAAACCTTTGGTTGGCTTGGTGGTAATTTTTCGGCCCCGGCCTTTACCAAGCAAAGGCGAGTTATAGTACTTATACCACACGTACGGACCTATCTCCAGCTGGTTTCCCTGTATCCGCTGATTCTCCGTATAATGCTTTGTCTTCTGTTACCGCCGACCCAAAGTGAGCGAAGAAACCTAAAACTCCCCCGAAACGCGGTAATTGAGGCCTGGTTGGCGGCCCCAAATGCTCTCTGCACCAAAGGGATAGTGCTTAGCTCACGGTGGTCTGGTTACCAGGCTAAACTGACTACTGCATACCCGTGATAGTGACCCCCACAGCAATATAATCTAATAATAAATATCTGCATCTGTATAGTATATATGTATCATCTTCATCGCCAGTGCACAATTTAGTACAGAACACACCACTGCTGTCTAGTGAACTGATATCATACAATTTATCCTGCAAGAGCATTATCTCTGTTGTAACACAGGCTACTAGAACTAGAAGCCATCTGGAATCCCTTGACAAATCTACAATCAAAATGTAAAAAAATTGCACTATATTGTTGAGGTCTTATTGCACTTAGACCATCAACAACTTACAACAATGCCAACTTTTACTAGTATACTCACAGGACACATACACATGAGTAGCCCAGTTGCCGGCAATGTGTGGGAATGAGCGAATCCTTCCTCCATGCTCCTCCGGGTTGTCTTTTCCTCCCTCCATCCCCCGTTTGTCAGAAAACATCTGTAGGATGTCTGCTGGCACAGATGGGAGGGTCCTACAGGGAGAAAAATTCAACATCTTGTCCTAATTGTTTAACAGTTGATATTTCCAGTGTAGTGGTTATCTGGGGACTATAAGACCTTACAGCTATCTGATGATTTCTTGAAAAACAAGATGACATATTTTCATACTACATGTACATGATGTCAAGCATTAGCAGCCTTTCTTACACACATATCTATGGGTTAGTGGCAACAAGAGGAAAGCTTTGGCTTTTTGGCCATGCAATTTGAAAGAACATAATGTTGTCAAATTATTGAACATATAATAACGTTAGTTAAATGTATTGATCTTCAAGTTATCGACTTATAATTATCAACGTGATTTCCAAATGAAATCTGGTGCAGCTACCTCTTCTCCAGATCTTGTGTGCGAGTCCTTTTTGTATCTTTATCTTCCTCATCATGATCATCCAGCTTCCTCTTACAGTTCTGTACTGTCACAACATTCTTGTGTTCTTGTTGGTGTAGTTTTGAACCCGGAAGTTTGTCAGCAGTCGCTAAATGTTGTTGTTGCAGGCCTCTGGACGGGCTGGGTCCTTCCTCCTCACTAGAACTCTCGTAACACGCCAGAGCTCCAAGTCCTGAAGACTTTCCAGCCATCCTGAACCTTGCAGACAACCCAGGAATCTAACTACAAGCGTAAAAGTACAGTTTCAGTTTTCCGAAGGATTATTTTCCCATAGGCGCAGCCATGTTGGATTATGGTGCATTGTGGGATATCCTGGGCATGCGCAGTTGAGTTTGAGTTTGGCGCACGTTTTGACCGGTTGCTGACAGCGAGTGCGCAGGCGTGTGGCAGGTAAAATTGTACCTTTTCATGATCTTCTCACTGAAATACGATGATGGGGGCGTAGAGAAAATTGTGTTTAAGTTACAGGACTTCATATTTGTCGTGGAAACTGGAATCATAAAAAGTAGTAGACGTGGGGAGGGGGGCGATACTAGTTCTGTTTTCACCAAAATATGAAATTTTATTACGTTACAACTCAGAAGTCGTGTGGCCCATACGTATCTTTCCACATGAGTCAGAACACCATAAATGTATAAGAAGATGAAAATACGAAATTTGTCTTTAATAGGCAAAGCTGAAACGCAAAAACGTACATGTCAATACATATGTGTGCCTGTGAATAGTGAAAAAATTATTATTTGCAGGCTATGAGCTATAACCGGTGACCACCATGGCTACAGACATGTATATGGAGGGTTTCCGCGATATGTTTATTATTTATTGTTTATTTCCCAGACAGACTGTGATCACCATGGCAACAGACATGGATACGGAGGGTTTCGGCGACCTCCTTCAGCGTGCGGAGCAGCTGACTGCAGACATGGACAGTGGCGTGGAGCTGCCTCGCGTGGAGCGGAACCTGCAGCAGATCCTGGACGCAGGCGAGAGGCTGTGGTCACGGACAGCTCAGGCCGCCGCTCAGGACCAGACTGACGCTCGGGCGTAAGTATCTTAATCATCAACACTTAACACTTAACAGTAGGCGAGAGGCTGTGGTCACGGACAGCTCAGGCCGCAGCACAGGAACAGACTGATGCACGGGCGTAAGTCAGTTTGCTTCCCTTCCAAGTTCCCACTAGATGGGAATTGCTGCGCAGCAACTGTATAGATTTAAGGCAGCCAAACCTAGCCTAGTAAAAAATGAAAGGAATTTTGTGAGTGTCAAATCTTTGCTTGCTTGTTGGTCACTCAGCCTCAAGGTGTTTATAATGACATAATGCCTGATCAATGGCAGCTCAATACATGGATTAAAAAAAAAACTATGGTCATGCACTGAGGGGTATACAGGCTTAGTCAGTGGGAAATAGAACCAGTCAGTACCCTGACTGAGGGTGGTGACAGAAGGACCACTAGAACATTTGCAGGTGATTCTTGTAAAGAACCTTCATTTTTTCATTTCAGGTCCATCCTTCTAGGTGCCAAGGGCTTCGATGTCCCTCGAATCTCACAAAGACTGGAGACCCTGAGTGCAGCCAAAACATTCGAGCCCCTGGAACCAGTCAGGGATACAGACATACAGGTACATGTGACATCCAGCTTCACCTGCCAGTATAATTATAGTAGATCTGTAAGGCTCTTTTTTTGCCAAAATTACTGTTCATTCTAGCCATGTGTGTTCAAAAGGACTGATGTGGTACAGGTACAGGTACATATGGGCTCGTCAAAGTGACTGGTGAAGAAGAAATCAGGCATTATCTCTTCTATGTATCTACTTGTACCACCACCCAGCACCCAAGCTAGCTGACTTGGGAGAGTTAGAAATGTATTTAAAGATTGTGTGAAAGTGTACTTTGATACCCTGGTGAAGCAGTACTTAGTGATGTAGTAAATAGATAAGAGCTTAACAAAGAAGACCTGAGACCAGTTACTGTTGCTTATCGATCAAGAACATGTGTATGTGTACATGTATGTGTACATGTATGTGTATGTGTATGTGTACAGAACATTTTGTATTATGTGTATTGTTCAATCCTAACACTAAGGACTTGAGGAAGCAAAGTTCAGATATGGCTCAAAAATAGTATGCTAGTTTGATGTTGCTGCTTAAACATGTGTGTGTACCATACAGGGGTTCTTACGGAATGAGCGGGAAAACGCCCTGCTGGCAGCTATCGAAGAGTCCAGAAGAAATGTATGTATCCACTTACTTTGGTACTCAAAAGAACCTTAATGCCCTGTGATGAAACTATTCACGTTCTTAACGTCTGATTTTCTTCCCTTTCCTTTCATATACATTTTGTATTACCACTAAGGTTTTCTTTTTATTCATCAATGCACAACAAAACAGTAACAAGGACAGTGTGGCACTGCACTCTTGAAGTTTATATCTTATTTTAGCAGTGCCATACAACAAAATACAATTAACATATAAACTGGTAACACATGCATGTACCACTAAGGTTTACGTCTAGTTACACAATGCCTGTATTTTTCCTCCGCAGACATTTGAGTCCGTAGAGCGTCACCACTGGGAGTTCATGCAGCAGGAGTGGGAGGTGGAGAAACAAAAGATCCTGAACGCTCTCATCAGTGCAGGGGAGGAGGCATTCGACTTCACACAGGACACAGGAGAGGTCAGGGAACTTCAGGGGATAATTTGGTCAGACTGAAGCTACTGTAAATTGTGAAACAACCTGTCACACTGCAAACGTGTGCTCTTTCTTTAATTTTTTTAAAACCATAAAGTGAGGAGTAACAATTCTCCATTTGTCATGCTTCAAATGTGTCGGTGGTACATGTATGGTAGACAAGAGTAATGCTGTAATGCTGACACTACATGTACACCTTTTTGGTTGTGTTATCTGATACTCAACATTTGGATAAAATACAGGGTGTGACAGTGCTAGAGTGGAGCACCAAATTAATAGTCCCAAGGAACAAGTCTCAAAGAGTCTCCTTAAAAATGATTGTTAAGTCTTGTTGGGACTGATTAGGAAATTATGTCTTATTCTTAGGTTCCTGGTCAGCTGGGTGATACCACTGTGGGCACGGGGAGGAGCAACATGGATAACATGGAGATGTCCTATGCTAGACAGGTCAGTATGGCAGGGATAAAATATTTACAAATGCCATGAACTTTCTATAGAAACTTTTGTATTGGGTATTGGGAAGCCAGATGATGTTGGTGATCCACACATGTTCTACAGCTCAGTGTAGTCTTGCTTCGTTTTGTTCTGCTGTGTCTTCTTCCCTGCAAACAGCTTAAAGCTCTTGGGTTTTCTTTGCAGATGAGCAGACTTATTTTGATGTGTATCTTGTGTTTTCTGTGTGTTTCAGGTGTTTGTGTACAATGATGCAGTAGTCCAGGGAGCTGTCAAACCAAGTCTAGCTGACCTGTTTACACAAGTGGCAGACAAGGTGGACGACAAGGTAGAGTTCACAGGGACTGAAGTTTGTTGTAGGGGGTAAAGGAATTTAAAGTGTTTGCCGTGTTTTGATAATTGTACAGTAGACATACAGAGTGTATTTCTAAACATATGTTAGTGATGTGATGATTTCTCTTATAGAGACGTCACTATAGAAACAGCAAACATAAAACCTCTGCAAATAAGTTTTAGTTGCTACATGGAGACACAAAGAAGTACTGTATTATTATTATTGCAAAATACATCACAAACATTTGGTAAAAGGCACACACTGACCTACATAAAAAAAACACAATACATTTTTTTACCTACACACAAAACATAATAGTCAATTTTGTCCCCTGTACAGAACATCCTGGACCTGTGGCAGATGGTACAAGTTGTGACTGATGTTCCCCTGGTCCAGGCTCAGTCTCCCATGGAGGCCAGGAGGTCCTCACAGCTGCAGAGGGCCTTCATAGGGAAGGCCAGGCACTTCCTCGAACAGAGGTACATACATGGTAGTAAGCAGAGCTTTTTTCTGTGATCTTTGTTTGAGGATGCAAAGCTTAAGACATGAGCACTGACCTGGAAATTTTGATTTAAAAATGCTGTCTCCTGCAAATTTCAATTGGCTTCATCTGAATTAAAAAAATGTCTTGTGTCTAACTAAGGATGGAAGGAAGGAATGCTGGAGAGAGCCCAGAAATTATTGTGTGTTCAATTTATCCAGTTTACTTTCTACTCAATTGTTGAAATCGCCTCTTGTAAATCGTCAATATGAAGGAAACACAAAAATGAGAAACATATTGCTGCCCCAGACCATTAAAAATGTGGACCATTAATACTGGTCTTTTATAATGAAGCCCCATAAGAGTTTTGTTCAGGAATGTCCAGTAAGTGGGAAGTAAAGACAAAAAAGAGAAGCTTTCAAATCATTACTTTGCTGGCCCATATGGTCTTTTTAAAACCATGATCTCTGTTGAAGTGCCCTTCCCAACTATCTCTGTTTTGTCCAGGTATGTGCAGTAAGTGTGAAGTAGAGACAAAAAGAGAAGCTTTCAAATCATTACTTTGCTGGCCCAGTTGTTTTTTTAAACCATGATCTCTGTTGAAGTGCCCTTCCCAATTTTGTCTGTTTTTGTCCAGGTATGTGCAGTAAGTGGGAAGTAGAGACAAAAAGAGAAGCTTTCAAATCATTACTTTGCTGGCCCAGTTGTTTTTTTTAAACCAGGATCTATGTGCCCAATTTTGTCTGTTTTTGTCCAGGTATGTGCAGTTCATCACCACCACCATCTATGACAACCTACAGCAGGCTCAGCTGGGAGGCATCCCGGGGACCTACAACAGGGTCAGGTCCTTCCTCAACATCAGGCTACCTGCTGTCATGGCAGGACTGGAGGTAACACTACAGATCATCGTGTGGCTCTCTGTAACAAAACTACTGTTTACAAGTTGAATAAAAAAAGAAATGACAATTGAGTGAGTGAGTGAGTGAGTGAGTGAGTGAGTGAGTGAGTGAGTGTGTGAGTGAGTGTGTGAGTGAGTGAGTGAGTGAGTGAGTGTGTGAGTGAGTGAGAATGAGAGTGAGTGAGTGAGTGAGAGTGTGAGTGAGTGAGTGTGAGAGTGAGTGTGAGAGTGAGTGAGTGAGTAATGATAATGTTCTCTCCTCGAGCAGCAGGAAAGTCAATGCTTGCTGTTGTTAATTTTTATCCCTCTGTGTTGTGTGTTGCTTTAAGCTGTGTTTTACATTTGTAGGATGGAGAGGTAGATGGCCACCCCGTGTGGGCCATGGTGTAATTCTGTCTGCACTGTGGGATTAGGGGTAGGGCTAGGGTTAGGGTTAGCTGTTATTTCCAGCCCTGTGACCATGCTTGTGTTGTGTTGTGTTGTGTTGTGTTGTGTTGTGTTGTGTTGTGTTATGTTGTGTGTAGGATGGAGAGGTAGATGGACATCCCGTGTGGGCCATGGTGTACTACTGTCTGTGCTGTGGGGTTTAGGGTTAGGGTTAGGGTTAGGGTTAGCTGTTATTTCCAGCGCTGTGACCATGCTTGTTGTGTTGTGTTGTATTGTGTTGTGTGTAGGATGGAAAGGTGGATGGGCACCCTGTGTGGGCCATGGTGTACTACTGCCTGCGCTGTACTAGGGTTAGGGTTAGGGTCAGGATTGGGTTTAGGGTAAGGGTTAGCTGTTACCAGCCCTGTAACCATGCTTGTGTTGCGTTATGTTCTATGTAGGATGGAGAGGTGGATGGACACCCAGTGTGGGCCATCATGTACTACTGCCTGCACTGTGGGCCTAGGGTTAGGGTTAGGGTCAGGATTAGGTTTAGGGTTAGGGTTAGCTGTTACCAGCCCTGTAACCATGCCTGTTCTGTTGTCCCCAGGATGGAGAGGTGGATGGACACCCTGTGTGGGCTATGGTGTACTACTGCCTGTGCTGTAGGGTAGGGTTAGGGTTAGGGTTAGCTGTTATTTCCAGCGCTGTGACCATGCTTGTTGTGTTGTACCCAGGATGGTGAGGTGGTTGGGCATCCCGTGTGGGCCATGGTGTACTACCGTCTGTGCTGTGGGGTTTAGGGTTAGGGTTAGGGTTAGCTGTTATTTCCAGCCCTGTAACCATGCTTGTGTTGCGTTATGTTCTATGTAGGATGGAGAGGTGGATGGTCATCCCGTGTGGGCCATGGTGTACTACTGTCTACGCTTTGGGGGCGTAGGGTTAGGGTTAGGGTTAGGGTCAGGGTTAGGTTTAGGGTTAGGGTTAGCTGTTATTTTCAGCCCTGTAACCATGCTTGTGTTGCGTTATGTTCTATGTAGGATGGAGAGGTAGATAGGCACCCGTGTGGGCTATGGTGTACTACTGCCTGCGCTGTACTAGGGTTAGGGTTAGGGTTAGCTGTTATTTCCAGCCCTGTAACCATGCTTGTGTTGCGTTATGTTCTATGTAGGATGGAGAGGTGGATGAGCACCCCGTGTGGGCCATGGTGTACTACTGTCTGTGCTGTAGGGTAGGGTTAGGGTTACTGTCTGTGCTGTGGGGTTTAGGGTTAGGGTTAGGGTTAGCTGTTACCAGCCCTGTAACCATGCTTGTGTTGCGTTATGTTCTATGTAGGATGGAGAGGTGGATGGACATCCCGTGTGGGCTATGGTGTACTACTGCCTGCACTGTGGGCCTAGGGTTAGGGTTAGGGTCAGGATTAGGTTTAGGGGAAGGGTTAGCTGTTACCAGCCCTGTAACCATGCTTGTGTTGCGTTATGTTCTATGTAGGATGGAGAGGTGGATGGACATCCCGTGTGGGCCATGGTGTACTATTGCCTGTGCTGTGGGGTTTAGGGTTAGGGTTAGCTGTTACCAGCCCTGTTCTGTTGTACCCAGGATGGAGAGGTAGATGGGCACCCTGTGTGGGCCATGGTGTACTACTGCCTGCACTGTGGGGTAGGGTAGGGTTAGGGTCAGGGTCAGGGTCAGGGTTAGCTGCTATCTCCGGCCCTGTAACCATGCTTGTGTTGCGTTATGTTCTATGTAGGATGGAGAGGTGGATGGTCACCCCGTGTGGGCCATGGTGTACTACTGCCTGCACTGTGGGATTAGGGGTTAGGGTTAGGGTCAGGGTTAGGTTTAGGGCTAGGGTTAGCTGTTATTTCCAGCCCTGTAACCATGCTTGTGTTGCGTTATGTTCTATGTAGGATGGCGAGGTGGATGGTCATCCCGTGTGGGCTATGGTGTACTACTGTCTGCGTTGTGGGGACCTGGAGGCAGCTGCAGAAGTCGTAGACAACTGGTCTGTATCTGTCAGGAAATCATTCCATCAATCTTCTATAAACAGTAAAAGAAAGTCTCTCACTCTCTCGCTATCAGGTTTATCATCAGTAAAACAGTAAAAGAAAGTACAAGGTAGAAGGCAGATGTGTTTTTATGTGATACTGGTAAGGTGTATCAATATTGTTGTCTAATTTCTTTTGGTACCTGCCTCTGGCTAAGCAATGTACTGCACCGTAGCATTTTGCAATAAATACTAGTACATTTGTATAGATCTGAAACAAATCGTGAAGCTTAACAACTCTTGATGCATGAAAGATCTTCCTGTTTAATCATTCTGAACCTTTTGATTTTCCAGCCAAAGTCTGCAGGGAGACTTTGCCATGTTTTTGAGAGAGTATGTTCGAAGTGAGGACAGAAGGTACGGTTGTCTTGTGTCTTCATCTTTGTAGGCTTACTTTTCTGATGTAAATTTGCTGTAGAACTGTAGGACATGTTTGTTTTGTAGAATAGATGAAATTTATGACTTTGAAAACGATATCTACATGTACATGCAATTCTGCTAAGGAGTAGTTTATGATTCATGAAGATCAGAGGATGTTAGCTGAAATGTAACTGAAATATTTCTTCTTTCATCCTTATCATGAGGTGTAGCATGAGAAGTTCTGTTTTCAGTACTGCTTGTCAGTCATTGCAGACAGAAGTTCAGGTCCTTACAAACCAGCCTCAGATTCTTGAGAGTTGTGGTTGGATGGCTGATCCTCCTTTTTGCATCTGGAGTCCAAAGTCCTTCTGGTTCTCTACTATGAAATACTGGCAGATAGAATTCCTTTTGTTGTGTAGTGGAGAACCCAGTATATACATTTGTATATCCTCTGTTGCAGGTTGTCTCCCAGTACAGAGACCAAAGTTCGACTGCACTACAGACGAGCCATCAGAAACAGCACAGATCCCTTCAAAAGGTTGGTAGCAGGATTGGACAGGAGTCATGTAATGCACAAGTATTATAATTACTTTGTTGTGTGTTGATGCTTTGACAGACTCAGGTCTTTTGACTGTTTTTTTTTAATGAAAGCTTTTTGCAACCCAGAGGCTGAATTGCAAGATTAATACATACACTACATTCTGTGCTCATCATTGTAACTTAAAAACTAGGTATACATCTAGCTTAAGATCTATAAATGAAAATCATCCCTAACCTCCCTACATACATGATAAAAAAAATATTGTAAAATTTGCTTTGAATCACATTATAGTTGATGCAACCCATGATAGATGCTGATGTATTTGTACATGTAAATGTTTTCCTGTATTTAAACATTTTTGATAACTGCGCGTGTATCTGTCCCCCAGGGCTGTGTATTCTGGCATGTATACAGGCTCTCTGTATTCCCCATGATGAAGAGTGTGTACATGTACATGTAGAATGATCTATTCTTTGTGAAACATTTTTGACCACCATGTGTGTACCCCCCCCCCCCCAGGGCCGTGTACTGTATCCTGGCCTGCTGTGACACGACAGACACACACTCCGACATCGCTGACAAGACTGAGGACTACCTGTGGCTAAAGGTAAACTGTCATCATCATCACCACCACACTTCAGTCAAAACTTTGTGATGATCACAATTGTCCTTTGCCTCTGATCTACTGTCCCTTCCAAGTTAACACTTGGTTACTTGTCTCTCTCACTTCTTGCTGGATGTGCCAGATAAACGTCACCCTCATTAGATGCATCCTCAGAGTGTCACATTAGCCTTCCTCTTCTCATAAGCATGGACAGTCCCACTCACTTACTATCCAGTTAACTGTCAGTAACTGATGGTCCCCTGCACGTGCTTGCACGCCAATGCTGAGGCTTGAGTGCAGCCCGCCATTGCCTCCATCTTGTGGGTTGATGCTACATTACGTTGTCAATTCATTGTTACGTTGTTAGAACTAATTGACTAGTAAGCAGTACCTTCTTGCAAGAATGAGTAGATAGTGTAATTTTTTGCAATTCAGCACTGAACTATTTTTTCCTGTCCCCCTGTTGCCAGCTGTGCCAGGTGTCCCTGGAGGATGACATTTCAGCAGGTTCCCAGGACAAGTTCACTCTGCCACAGCTGCAGAGCCTCCTACTGGAGGAGTACGGTAAGTGCAGGCATACGGTAGTGACAGATTTTCCCGACCAGCCTCGTAACCCCTGCTTCTCCTATTGGGTCAGTTAGTCCTCACTACTTGTGAGAAATTAGGCTGGTCTCAATCATGATGTTTCTGACTCAGTGAGAAGAGTTGTTGTTACAGTTCTATACCTCTAGCTCTATGCCTAGAAGTGGCCAAAAATGGCCTTGCATTGAGGGACACCGTTAAAAAAAAAAAAAGTTCAAAAGGCTGGATGACATTTCATCATACAATCTCCTCTGCAGTTCCAATACATTCACAAAAACTTAAAACGCTTCCGATTTCTTGTTTTTGTACTTTAAGGATATTCTTCATGACATTGTAAGTGTCCATCCTAATGCCTGGTAGAGACTTGGCCTGACAATACATGTACGGTTACCTTACATGTATGTCTGCCAAATTCTGTTCTTCCAAGGTTTCGCAATGGACAAAAGAAACTCAAACCTACCTCTATCCCCGGTCATTTTTAAAGTGATGGGAGTTGCTAGTTTTGAGACACAGCATCAGAACCTTTTGGAAGTGTGACATGACGAGAAGTGTTGGAAAGTACTTGTACTGTAATTTTTCCCCATTATGTTGTGTGCTGACACAGATGAATTTTCATGCTAATGCACATTGCTAATGTACATTTCTAGTTTATTTCTTTATCCAGAGTATATTATCTCATATCTACTTATCTGGTTTTCAAAAATACAGTTACGGAAACAAAAAACACAATTACTGTACAGTATATACAAATAACGTTAGTAGTTACAGACTTATAAAACCAATTAAAGTGATCACAGTATAATTATGGAAATTGGTCCAAATTCAGTTTCCAGTTCCAGTCCCTCTGCTTTTAAATGCTTTATACCTTCAGGTGTAGGCTTATAGTAAGTTATACATGTACATATTCTATCATGAAAGTTTATCTGTGTTGGTACAAAATGTAGTTACATGTTTAAAGTTAAAACTTTTGGTCCAACACAAAAAAGTTCACCTAGAGCTTTTGACCAGTCACTCTGGTCTTCCTCAGTAGACTGACCCAGTGAAGCTTGTCACGTAGCTTCTTTGAAGTGTGACTGTACATATTTATTTCACTATCCCCCCAGGTGAGACCCACTTCAACGCGCCCCAGCAGCCGTTCCTGTACTTCCAGGTGCTGTTCCTGACGGGGCAGTTCGAGGCCGCCGTGGATTTCCTGTTCCGTGTGGACCAGCTGCGAGCGCACGCGGTCCACGTGGCCATCGTGCTGTACGAGATGAAGCTCCTGCTCACGCCCAACACAGTCCAGGCACAACTGTGTACGTGCTCTTTATTTATGCAATGATATGCGAATACATGTGGTGTGTTACGCCGAAGGGCAGTTATACCAGCTATACCAATACAGATACAGTAGCTGGTGTGTTATGCTGAAGGACGGTTATACTGGCTATACGGATACAGAATATACAGGTACATTTTTGTAAATACTGGGTTTCTAGTTGTCTTTGCAAGGAGAAGGAAATTCATATGGGGTTGTTAGTTGTCTTTATGCCAGGATTAGGATGTTGATGGCACGTGGTCCACGTGGCCATCGTGCTGTATGTGATGAAACTCCTACTCACACCAAACACGGTCCAGGCACAACTGTGTAGGTATATCGTTGATTCCAACACACAATTACAAAGGGATCAAATTTTCAGCGACCACTGTCGCCTTCATCAGGATAATTAATGACCAGTCACTTCACAACTTGATCTTGCGAGAGTTACGGTTACAAACACGTGACCTTATTCACACTTTACTGATAATTTTTTTACTGATCAATATGTGAGCAATTGATCAAAATTGCCAGTGAAGAAGGCGACAGTCAGGTCGATGAAAATTTGATCCCTTTGTAATTGTGTGTTGGAATAAAGTTCAATATTTTGCTATGATTACTACCAACACAGGTAAACTTTCATGATAACTCTGTAGGTGGTTTTTGTGCAAGGATATACATGTACATTTTTGTACAGACTCGGTTCCTAGTGGTCTTTGCAAGGAGAAGGAAATTTATATGGGTATCTTAGTTCTTTTTATGTCAGGATTAGTCTTCCTAAGTATGTTCACAATTTTTTGTCCTTTTTCTGCAGTGACAAAGGAGGACGGTGACCCAGTTCCCATGCGGCGGCTGAACTTCGGCCGACTGGTGATGAGTTACACCAGGAAGTTTGAGTCCACGGACGCCAGGGAAGCTCTGCAGTACTTCTACATCCTCAGGTGAGAATCAAATCAACTTTATTGCTCAATAACAGTTACTGTAAATGGTGCAATGTATGGCAAGAAGGAAGCAACAGGGATAGATACATGAACTATACTAAAATGTAATTATAAATTATTCTAACAGAGCTAGTGGATAAATAAGAATGGCAGTCAACTAATTTGTGCTGTTTAGACAAGCCTGAAAATCACAATACATACATGAAAATAGTTCACAAAGGACAAAGTGTTTCTTTATCCAGAACTTCCCTTAGTAGTTTAGCCTGTTATCCAGTGTTCCGCTAGGCATCTGTCCTTGCATCTTTACATACACTTGTACACTTTTTGGGGCATTTTGCTGGGCTTTTCGTTCCCCTTCTTCCAAAATTTGTGAAAATGGAACATTTTGAACTTAAGTGTTTAGTCTGCTTACTTTTTGGAGGGATTTTGTAACTTCAGATAATGTAAGCCTCATACATGTAAGTATGTATGTATGAAAATGTAACCCAGGAGCAAACCTTGTTTCTTCAGAGACCTGAAGACACCAGGAGGAGAGAACCTGTTTATGGCCTGTGTCAGTGCTCTGGTGCTGGAAACAAGAGAGGTCAGGATACATACAGTACAGTTACTGAGATAGTCATGAATATTTTTGTGTTAGGTATAGAGTAAGTGCATGTTGTTGAATGCTTGTTGGTAGAATGGATGCTTTCTACAATGTACATGTGTGTCACTCATGTTTTTGTGATATAAATCGCAAGAGAATCTAGGGCAGTGCTTGATGTACATCTGTGTTTTTTTTTTACATACTGTCTTTAAGTCTCTTTCAACTTTTGCGGTAGTTTTACTTTCAAGGTTTCTGTGGTGTGCTCTCTCGCTGCAAATCTGTGACACTTTGAATGTGTACAAATGTGTGTGTGCTTCCAATGTACTGCAGAATTGTTTCAGCTGCAAATTTTGTGACCCCACAAAAACCTTCTTTACCCTCCTACCACGAAATAAAACCACCTGCCATGTACTTGTACCCTCCAGTTTGACATGCTGCTGGGAAAGTTAGAAAGAGATGGAACCAGGAAGGTGAGTACTGGACTATACTTTTTCACTAATTTAAGATTAAATGCTTTAATTCAGTAGAATGCAGTTTAGATTTCCTTACTGTGGCCTTATAGCTGTATAGCATGACATTACATCCACGGCGCTTGAAATGCATTTTCTGCACACCTGCAGTGGTGTCCCTGTAGGTGGCATTGAAAATTATCTGCACCAGACAAGTTTTACCTACACACAGTATTTCGAGCCCTGTATACCTATTCTTTTTTTTCTATCGCAGGCAGGAGCCATTGACAAGTTCCACGGCGACACCCACAAGATTATAGAGATGGTAGCACAGGACACGGAGGGCAAGGGTCAGTCTGAGGACGCTGTCAGGCTGTATGAACTAGCTAAGGTAACTCTCATTATTATTAGAAGCTGTCTGTTTTGGTTGTAAAATGTGGTGTGAGTGTGTTCAGTGGACTTCAAAAAAGTAGTTGGGTAAGACAGTTGCTTTTTAATTAGAGGGTCTTATTATGATGTATTGGCTGTTTTAATGTGGCTAGTGAGTGGAAGTTGGCTAGAGTTCAAGAGCAGTCTGACCAGAATAAGGCCACACGTACCTTTCACCAACCAACCACGGCCAACATTGCTCCTGACCTACTCCTTACCATGGTTTGGGAAGAGTCCTACAAGTGTTTGGGAGGCCATATTCGGCTTTGTGTGATATAGGCTTAAGACATTGACATGCAAGGCTTACGTAAAAAAAAATGAAAAAAAAAAGGAATTCAAAGCCCTGACATATTTGTTGTACTCTTACGTAAAAAATAAAAAAAATAACAAAGGAATTCAAAGCCCTGACATATTTGTTGTACTCTTACGTAAAAAAATAAAAAAGGAATTCAAAGCCTTGACTTGTTTGTTGTACCCTTGTCTGTAGGACAATGAGAAGGTGCTGATTCTGCTGAACAAGTTGCTGTGCCAGGTAGTGTCACAACCCCCCGCTGACTTGTTTGTTGTACCCTTGTCTGTAGGACCATGAGAAGGTGCTCATTCTGCTGAACAAGTTGCTGTGCCAGGTAGTGTCACAACCCCCCGCCCCCCAGTCTGACAGAGACAGGCTGAAGGCTTTGGCTGTCGGCATTGCAGAGAGGTGGGGAAAACTATTCACATTCTTTAGTTTGTTGTTGTAAAGTTCAAGCTTCGTTCCAACGCAACTAAGGATCTCACCATAAATTTTTGGTCGATCTAGTCAACCTTTGTGAGATGCACTCCGTGAGTTGGAACAAAGCTTGAACTTTGTAACGATGAATTCACAGATGAGTCTTTGCTTGTTTGATTTCTTTGTTTAATTCATGAAATACTCGGAATCGGCCTGCTGATCGCTTTTCATCAAGGTCATGAAAGAAGAGGTCAAGGTCAGACAAAATGGTGGTGTCAAACAGTCAAGTGGCTAGGCTAGTGAACATGAGATTGAGATGTCACAGGTCAATTCCTGGCATTCCTGGATAGATGTTACATCCTTGGGAAAGACGCTTTACCCAGGTTTCCTCACTTCATCCAAGTGTAAAAAGGGTACCTAACTTAGGTTGGGGAGGGAAAAAATGGTTGATGTTGAGGGAGGGCGGAAGTTCCAATACCGTACCCTAGACACACTTGTAACAACCCACTGCCTCTATGGCCTAAAAAAGACTGCAGGACTGCCTTTACATTTTTCTAGCATCCAACCTGATAATCTAAGTACATTGAATTATAAATGTTTTCTGTTGGTTGTTTCCCAGATACCAGTCTCAGGGCCACGGCGGTGCTCAGTTGGAGTCCAGCACCTTCTTCCTGCTACTGGACCTGGTCACTTTCTTCGACCACTACCACACCGGCCAGCTGGACCAGGCACTGGACGTAAGACCTGTGTTTTAGAAATGTTGTCTCAACTTGTGTGCATGTTAGTCGTTCGGTGTAATACAGCTAGTATATACTGGGTTCTTAGCTAAACTCTAAGCTGGTCACTTTCTTTGACCACTACCACACCGGTCAGCTGGACCAGGCACTGGACGTAAGACCTTTTTTATATTATGTTTTATATATTATTTATTTTTATATTAGCTCAGTTAGAGGGTTCCTGGGCCCTACTAGGGTTTGGGTTGGCGTTAGGAAGAGCATCCAGCCGTAAAAATCTTGCTTCAAAAAAAGACTTAAGTCTTGTACCTTGTGCAAGCACGTCTAACCCCGGGTTGGGGAAAAATGATGTTAAATTCGGTTAAATATATGAAAAATACGTAAGACCTTGTATTACAGAAATGTTTTCTGCAAAATTTGTCAGAGTCTCAGACATTTGTCACTTGTTTATACTTATAAATTATAGGTTTAGAGATGGTCAAGGGTTAGGCGTAACATGTTAGTCTTTTGGTGTAATACAGCCAGTATATACTGGGTTCTTAGCTAAAGAACCAAACTTTTTTATATGCTTACATTTTACAAACTATTGGATAATCTACTTTGTCAGTCATTTCACTCATGTATAGGTTTAGATGTTCATGATCAAGGGTTAGGTGTAACATGTCTTTCAGTGTAATGTAGCCAGCTGCCACCATGACGCTTGCCGGCGAAGCTGGTGTGTTATGCTGAAGGGCGATTATGCTGGCTAATAGTATACAGATGCAAACACAGATACAGATACAACACCAGTATATACTGGGTTCTTAGCTAAACAACCAAGAGGATTTTAAATGCTTATGTTTTCACAACCTCTGTTCATCTACCTTCCTTAAAGCTTGATAACCTGTTCTTGTTGACAGCCAAATGTGAAAATGTTTACAAGTCCTGCTTGTGAAGACATATTTCCCAGTACAGAAAAGGTTTCCTCAGTCATCTGTTCTCCTCTCCCCTTCAGATAATCCAGCGGCTCCAGTTGGTACCCCTCACACAGGAGGCAGTGGAACAGCGCGTTGCAGCCTTCTCGTCTTACGCAGATGAGGTGAAGCATTGTTCGTCACTCTTGGTTTGCATCATTCAGGGTTCGAAATTCATTTTTTGGAATAGGTGCACTAGTTCACCCAACCAAAAAAATTGGGTGCACAAAAATATTTTTGGGTGCGCCATATGCATATAAAACAAAACAGGAGCTAACTTCAAAATCTTAAACAAGTACTACAAGAAAGATTTTATTGTTTTTCAGACACTAAGATTCATGAATATCCTGTACACTATTATATTTTGATATGTACAAAAATACATACAAATATTTAAAAAAATAAATATAAGATACACAGAAAAGAATTGGGTACACAGCTTCAATTTTGCGTGCACTAAGGTGCACGTGCACCCAATGTTTCGAGCCCTGATCATGGTGTAATGGTTGGGATGTTTGGCCCTTCGAATCACTTTTAAATTACCGATGTTGTGTCCTTGGGAAAGGCACTTCACACTTTTCAGCTTTCCTCACTTCACGCATGTGAACATGAGTACCTACATGTGTAGCTTCAGTTCAGGAGGTCCCTGATGTAATATGTTTTTGGGTGCTGCAATACATTTCGTCACCTGCTGTTTTTCCGTGTTACATCCTATTTTTCTACTGTATGTTTCTTTTTAGTCATCCTTAAGGGAGGCAAAACATGATGCTTTTTCAAGTAGCTGCTTTATATATAATTGTATCTAGAACCCTTGTGTCAAACCCATTCATGACCAGTACCTCCCTGTGTTTCTCCAGGTGAGAAGGAACCTCCCTGATGTGTTGTTGGCAGCCATGAACATCCTGTACTCCAAGTACAAGGCTGTCAGGTAGGGATCCGGGTATACATGTATCTGGAGACCATGGGTGTATGAAGTTTATGGTCATGCAATAAGTATTCATCAATTTAGTGAACTCCACAGTCGTGGATTCCAAACTCCCCTGTGACGTAGTATCGTGTGTTAAAGTTTGTATTGTGTTTTCAGGAGTGCAGGTCAGGCCAGTCCCACATCCAGGGGCAGACTGAGAGAGGACAGCAAGACAGAGTCTGTGAGTGGTCAATGAATCCTAGATATTATGAGGGCTCAAAGTACATGTAGCACTGCATTTTCATGCAGGTAAAACTAAAGAGAAAGTTTGCTGTGGGCACACTAAATAGTGCATTAGATTTACGACACAGAAGATCTGCATTGTTTGAGAGTCCATGAGCGGACAATTAATTCTTGTTCTCGCTAGATCAGGACTCAAAGTACCACATGTATATGCAGGTTTGATGCAGGTAGCACTAAGGTAATGTTTGCTGTACGCACTCAAAACAGTGCATTAATGACAGGAGATCTGCATTGTTTGATGTGATGATTTTCTGGTGGAGAACTGAAGATGTACAATCAAACCTGGCCATAACAACTACCCTTTCCCAGTCCCTTTTTTTCCATAGGTGCAAGCATTAACTTTAAATGATCTCCCCAAGCTTTAAGAAAACTACTTTATTTCAGAGTCTGTCTGCTTGCCTTGATGGCCTTATTGACACATTTAACTGCACTATGGTGTAGCCTCTACCAGGCTTCAGAAATGGCTGGAAAGAGTCAAGATTGGCCATATAGACAGATAACATGTATAATTGTACAAACTGTACTCCACCAGTGGACTAACTCTCCAAGCACGTTATCTGTCTTCATGGCCAATTTCTACTCTTTTAAAGCCACTTCTGAAGCCTGGTAGAGGTTAACTATACTGTACTAAATTCTTCCTTTGCCTCCTCATTTGCAGTACCTGACGTACCTGAGGAAGCAGGCCCGAGCTCTCATCACCTTTGCAGGCATGATTCCCTACAGGATGCCAGGAGACACAAACGCTCGCCTGGTGCAGCTAGAAGTGCTCATGAACTGATGATGGTTTCCTCCAGCCTCTACCAGGCTTCAGCAAGTGGCTGGAAAGAGTGGTAATTGTGGAAATTGGCTACGTAGATGCCAAGATACACGTACACATGTAGTTGGCCGCTAGAGAGAACATGTGTACATGTATCTTGGCATCTATTTAGCCAATTTCCACAATTTCCGCTGTATTCTCTAGCGGATCAGCTCCCCTGGCATGTTGTCTGTCTAGTTGGCCAGTTTCTACTCTTTCCAGACATTACCAGGCTTTGGGAAGTGGCTGGAAAGAGTAGAAATTGGCTACATAGACAGATAACATATGCCAAGATGCTTGTAGTTGCTCTGCAAGAGAGAATAGTTCGGGTGTGGCAGACTGTACTCTCTAGCAGACCAACTCCCCTGGCATGTTATCTGTCTAGCAGGCCAGTTTCTACTCTTTCCAGCCACTTCCTGAAGCCTTGTACAGGCTAAGCTCTCGCCACCATCCTGTCCCTGGATGGAATTTTGCCGCTCGGGACAGACAGAAATTTCAACCATTCCATCCCCCTCGACAGACGGAAAGCAAAACCCATTTTATTTGGTCATCCACAGTGCTAGAAAACGTTTGAAAAAGCAAACGAAAGTTACTTTTAATTAGCTCTTCATACAATTATCAACAAACGTTTTCAAGGATATGAAAATAAAATGTCATGTATTTTCATTTTGAGAATTAGATGTACAGTCATTGATTGGTCATTGGGGATAAAGCTTAGCAACTTTCTGTACCAATAAAACAACACAGCTAGTGTTAGAAATAAACATGCAAACATAGTTTTGTTTGGACTTCTTAGTAAGTTAGTACGGGTAAGTTGTATCATAGCTTTCTTACAGTACAATAACCAGGTATGCAATCTCTCATGGATCGGCCAGTAGGAGCTCCATGCTAATCTCCAAGCAGATCCTAGGGTGGCAAAAGACAGTATCAAATTTGGCCAGGCAGTATCCATTGGCCAGAGAGGGTCCAATATGGTCCACTTGCGTGGCGTATTGGACCCGCTCTGGTCATTGGATACTGCCTGGCCAATTTGATACTGTCTTATGCCACCCTAGGATCTGTTTGGAGATTGGAGATGCTGCCCGGCTCAACTATAGCACAAGTTAGGAGTTTTACGGGGTTGGTTTATCATCAACCTAGTGGATTGGGTGGGCCCGGCTCAACTATACCACACAGTAGGAATTTTGCAGGGTTAGAGTTAGATATCCAGAATTGGGGGATCCCTCTTCGGTACAGTATATAGGAGCTTCCTTTCCTGGGAGCCAGACTGGCCGTTAGCCAGTTCCCTTCGGCGATCCAAGGCAGTTCGCCCGCCGATCTAAATTACCGCTACTGGGGGAATTGTAGTCCTAGGGAATTAGCTGGCCCTTTACCAGAACTAGCAGCCTTTCCCTTTTTTTTTCATTTCAAAATTTTACACAAAACATGGTGACGGCACACTAAACTTTATTTCTTTGCCGCCACCAATCGGTGAAATGTTAAGTTTTCGAACACGGGACCTCTTAGTTCCTCTTGTTTTCTTTCTTTTTTAAAAGACCCTCAAAGCAACCAAATCATTTTCAGATATGACTCTCTTGGAAGTGGTTATATTAGCTCTGTCCAGCTCTATAGGATTGGCTAACAGCCATTCTCCATCTTTCTACCCTGTATGAAATATATACTCCCTAATGCCTAGTTTGTGCATGTGTAAAAAATGACTTAACGACAACACATTGCATCAAGCATTTTGTTTTATTACTGCAAGAAGTCTTGGTTACATAGAGCGGCAAGAGCTGATCTATGGGCTCCTACGATCAAAAAAAGTGAAAAAGAAGATAAGTTTCAAGGTTTCATTCAAGTTACCACTAACTTCTGGACAGTAAGATTTTACTACGTAGGTAGATGAATTAGAATGGTAGGTTTTTTCAGTTTCAGTAGTTTTTCAGGTTCAAGTCAGATCTTCAGAACTAGTTAGAAAATGATGAAACGATAATTATTGAAATTTGTAGAGAAAGCTGTGGGAGCCCTTTCGTTTACTAAATAGGCTCAGTGGTGGATATCAAAATCATTTGAAACCCTTGAAGTTAATTGATCTGTGATTTCTTTGTTGCTGATGCAACGGTTTCATAGCAGAATTTAGATTTAATTATAGCAACACTGTGCTATTTGCCAAACAATGGTAATGATCATTATTGTAACCCTAACACATTGGCAAAGAAAACTTCTCATTTTGAAACGTGAAAGACTTCTGATCCCCTCATTGGATTGCAAGGATTGCAAATATATTTCACTCCATCTAATAGGTGTAGGAGGGAAATGTATTGTTTTATGTCGTGTTTCTTCACCTGCCAGTTGGTTAATTGGGTTCAATATGTCATATGCATTTTGACTTGGAATTTGTTATGAAGGTAGAGTGGGGAAATTCGTTTTCCAATCGTTTTCCTCTTCATTTTTTTTCATATAGGTCTTTAGAATTGTATTGTTGATGTCTTTTTGGTCAGTGTCATCAAAAATGTATAATTTGGCCTCCTGTGCCCAGGCTGTATGCCTAAATGACCTGGCAATTTGTATGGGAAGATGATCTTTGTTATTTTGAACTACGATATCCACTCACGAGCCTTGTTACGGTTAAATGAGGCAAAAGCAGCTAAAATCTATGCGGCTGATCTGCAGTCACGGCTGGAAGGCCAGGATGGTGCTCGGCACACGCAGGATGCGGTGGGACCATCGCCATTCCGGGGTCCTGTTGAGAGACGAAAATCATACGGTAAAATGTGAGTGAAGTGATCTACAATGAGAGGCTGGTTTGTTTTTTCGTTTGTTTATCGTTAATGGAACAACATTGTTGGATGGATGGATGGATAGATTGGTGGGTGGGCTTGGGTGCATAGTTGGATGGATGGGTGGATGGATTGCTAGAGGAGAGAAGGCCCTGTAACATGCCCTGTCACCAGCTTGGTGAATGTGATCATGAGTTGTCTACCGTCTTACCCAAGAACTTTCTACCTGTTGAGGAAGTCTACTGTAGATGTTTCTTACCTCCTGGGACTACTCTTTGGCAAGTTCCCCAGAGTCGATGTACCCGTTGTCCACTTTCTCCAAGTTCTTCAGCATCTCCTGAGCCTCCTCCTCCAGATCGCGGAGGGCCTTGGCTTTCTCCTGTTTCCTGCGCAGCAGCTCAAGGAGGGTGCGGGTTTCCAGCGACTCCAGAACGCTGCGGGCTTCCTCAGGATCGTCCACCGACCTTAGCAACATGATATAAAGACAACCATTTATGTAACAAGAGAAGGTATGTATATGTATAAAAATCATATAACTGTGTCATATAGCGGTGTAGAATATAGAAAACTATTGATCGGGTCAAATTCAATGAACACCGTAGACTGTCTACACTTGCAATAAAAGGTGAGCAATTGTACCTCAAGTTTGCTGGATCCTAATGGTCTCTGAACCGATTTACGGCACATCTTCCTTTTTGTTTTACAAATCAGGCGAGAATTAATGCTCGGGCTGATGTGATCCATAAACATTCCTTCCTGTGGCCTTACCTGAAGAGACTTTCCCTGCAGCCCCCTTCGCAGTTACACCCGTCCGCGTCGCACGGTCCTACTCCGCAGTGGGGGTCGTCCTTGTGTAGGGGTGGAGAATGATTGAATGATTGAATGGTTGAATGATTGAATGGTTGAATGATTGAATGATTAAATTAATGAATGATTAAATTAATGAATGATTAAATTAATGAATGATTGAATGAATGAATGAATGAAAGAACGGATGAATGAATGACTGAATGAATGAATGAATAGACTTTATTGCTCGACAATCGTACATGGTACAATGTGTGGCAGAAAAATACTACAAAACTAAAATACCTTACGACTATTACTACATACTACTATGGACGCACGTAGCCATGTATCTAAACTGCTAAACGTAACAAAAAAGTCCCCCAAATGTTCGGCTCTACATTATGCATCATTCATCAGGCTCAAATGACCAATTACAGATTATTTCATGGGAGGTTTTTTTGTGTTGGAACTTAATTCGAGAACGTGACGAAACTTCAAGACTTCAAGCTGCAGAATGAGATATTTTTTATTTTATGTTGCTGGACTCCAGGAAGAATAGTATGGAGTTAACTTCCATACTAATGGAGATCTCAATAAACAAACAAACAAACAAACCTCAGTCGTCTTAGTGCCATCCTCACACCAGTAGCTGCACTTCCTGAGAAACATCTCTCCACGGCATATTTTTCTAGGAAGACAGCAGTTTGAGTCGTCTGCCTGGGCCACCATCAGGAGGCCGGTCAGACCCAGGAACATCGCCAGCTTGAAGCCCATGGTTACCTAGTAGTAGACGAAATATCAATGAGATTTAAACCTCGGGAATATAAACAACATACGTGAATATCTAACTTAACTCATCGTCAACTTGAAGCCAATGGTTATCTAGTAGTAGACGAAATATCAATGAATGAATGAAGTCCTTTATTGTACACACATACCCACTGGGTTAAGTACAGGTCACAAAAAGGATGGAATATAGATAACGTTACATATATACATCGTAAAGTAGCTACAATCAAGTAAATTCGGTTTCTTCTCGTTTCTTGGTAATGGTAAAAATGTAAGAACAGATATGTTTCAATAAAGAAGGTTTGTCAATGAGATTTATTTAAACCTTGGGAATGTAAACAACATACGTGAATATCTAACATAACTCATCGTCAACTTGTAGCCCATGGTCACTTAAAGATTAAAACAACCTACATGGAATATTTTAGTCGCCAGTTTGATGCATGTACGCTGATGCATGTATTTCCCATGAAGTTTGCTCCAGTAGCTATAAAGTGTTGTTGACATATAAAGTGTTGTATACAATACATGTATCAATGAACAGTCGTGCTTATAAGCATGCATTTTTTCCTCTGGTCTCTTAGTGTCACTGACGAAAGCTAGTGGGTGCTCCCTGAAACGTCTGACCATTTCCACAATTATATCCAGTTGCTTGAGTAACTGCTTTTTGTGTTGCTCCTTTGCCTCAGTTGAGAAACCGGTTAGGTAACCAATGGACGTTGAAGCCTAACATGTCGGTACAACCTTAATTTCTTTAAGTCTAAAAGGTAAACAAGAAGCCATAGGTGACAATCCTCCGTGAAGATTTATATATTTCAACAAAAACAATCCCAAGGGTCAACGCCAGACCTACTGTGCAGACATTATAATTAGGCAACGGTTAATACAATGAGGGCGCGTCACAAGCATAAAACATAAAAAGACCTGAATCAATTACTGCTCCCAGGGCGTGTAAAGATACTGTGCTTCAAGTTTGAAGTTCATTTTGATTACACACACACAATCATTGCATTCACATAAAGATCGGACTATCATGGTCGTGTCACTATTAACGAAGACACCGTCTTACCGTGCCTGTTACTTATTAAGCGTTACTTGAGTGTTACTTCCGCCGGTCAGATACCCGGGATATCTGCCTAGAGAACCTCTGCTACCAGACAACTGCCTAAACCTACGGCCTATTCCACAGGATTGTAAAAGTAGGGATGTTTCTAAAATATGCATTTACTTCAATATCAAAACTGCTACAGTGAAAATAAAAAGACGTGCATCATCACGGACATAATGGTACACCACATGCCCAATTACACAGAAATGCGACGTACGGAAGAATGCGTTTTGGCTGCGAGCATCTTCCAAAAAACTTGCCATCTCTAAAGCACAGGCAAAAACATCTGGAACCTCTTATCGGAACCTCACCGTATCTGCACTGCTATTCCAAACAACGCGTTTTTCTGGACCATTCCAATTCGCCTCGTAATTGTAGGGGTGCGTCTGCAATATTACATTGACCGCGAAAGCAGCAACGGCAAAAATACACATTCGTGCATCAACACGGGCATGCCCGCAGACGGCGTATAAAATTGCGTACCGATTACACAAAGAGAACCCAGTGTTTTGACTGCGAACACGAAAAATCAGCTATTCACAACACTCCGTCTCGGAGGTCCTGACCTCCTTCACGATCCTTCACGGAGTAACAAACATATGCATCGTCCACACAGTCTAGTACTGTGACCAAAACATGTTGGTGGTTCGTATTAGCTTTTCTTGTGGCAATAACTAAATATTTAAGAAAATATTTTTTTTTAATCCTAAGTTTTTGTCGCGGTCACATTCGTCGCTGGCTGTAGTGCGATTTTCATGACGTAACGATTTTTAAGCAGACTATAACAGATCCAGCTGCCGACATACTTTTAAGGCAACATTTTTGCAGACAGCTGAATTTTTTGCGACACATGGATATGTGGTTATACTAAGGATACGCCCAGTGTTTCCAAGGTCGTAAGACTAAGTGATCTTAGGCCTTTATAGAAGCATAATTACCCACATAAATTAGTCCAGGCCGAGTCTACAACACATTAGACGGAGCCTTTTTTGCCTTTCCTATAAGCAGAGCACTTAAGTTTCCCAGACCGATTCTTGTTCTCCTTACAACTTTGTCTACGGTTTCAGTGGTTCCACGTTCAGTAAAAATTTGATCACGTTCAAAAGAATCGACAACATCTCTGTTACCCTAGCTTGGGTTCCATCCTGTGTAGTTTACGTCCGCTCCCACAGTCGCTACTACCAACCAGGGTAGCGACTGTGCGAGCGGACGTAAACTAACCAGGATGGAACCCAGGCTGATGTTACCCAGCCTTGTAGTTCTAAGGTTCACCCTTATCTGATCTTATCTCAACTGTGCTAAGTGCTGCACACCCGCCCCGGACAATTCGTACCCAGCCTGTTGTCTACCGTCCCGAGTGCATGTGTCTATACGGTACTAGTGCACCAATGTAGCGCACCAATGTAGCTTACCTGTATTTGCTCTTGTCTGAGTGGATACCAAGATGTCACACTGTGAACAGGAGACGGGGTGAGAGTGGCCCTTCGAAGTGTGGGTGATTCTGGTGCGGACTCCTACTGACGCACGTAGAGACTGCGGTGTGTCCAGTCCAAGCTGGGCGTTTTCAACTTTTGCTGCAGGCGTCCCGAAATCTGGGTAAACCTGGAGCTGAATAGAGGATGATGGGTGCAAAAACCACTGCACGAAATAATTGCAAAGTGACTCTGTTGATGGTTCCTTTTAGGCGCCTTTGTTGCCTCAGGCAATCATTATCAGCTTGTCCCATTGTCAGATTTACCAGGTATCTGCTGCTGTTTACCCAGGCAGACGCTACCGGATGTGCAAAGTAGAAAAACTTGAACTTAATAGCTCTTGGTAAAGCTCTTGCTTTTGTGGAGTATTAAGTCCTGTATACATGTGTCTAACTCCAGGTGTTACCTAAATTTCGACTTTATTGCGACTTACTATAATACACGACTTTATTTGATGAATAGTTGATTAAGGGGTGATGACACCGGTATGCGTGCAAAATATATTTAGCTGGATTCACAAATAAATAGGATGCACCAATAACGTTGCCGTTGACGCCCTTTAGTAACCTTTACGAGGCATAGCTGACTTTTACTACCTGCCAATTATCTTCATTCGTAAATCCTGATTTTTGTGCAGTGTACAACCTCGTCAATGGTTGCCTAGCAACAAAAAGGACGGCACAAAATACCCCGATATTAGTTCAGATTTGCGGTCAACCCCCCACCCCCCCACCCCAGGCACGGTTGGCGTCAGTCGTAAATGACCATCCACATCGAGTTTTACATGCGTTGTTGGATCTCTGTAGATTCCCCAAACAACCAATTAACCAACCATTAAACCAGCCAACCAACCTTCTAACCATCCAACCGACCGACCGACCGACCGACCGACCAACCAACCAACCAGCCAGCCATCCAGCCAACCAACCAACCAACCAACCACCGACCGACCGACCGACCGACCGACCGACCGACCGACCGACCGACCGACCAACCAACCAACCAACCAACCAACCAACCAACCAACATACATACAGACAGACATACAGACCAACCAACCAACCAACCAACCAACCAACTTCATTTATTTCTTCATTCACACCATTGATACAATTGATACACACCATCTTTCCATTGCGTGGATTGTTCGAAGGACGATAGAACCAGACTGGCCAAAGTTTGTACATGGGGTAATTAAGCATGTTGAGACTCGAGGACATTGCTTTAATCTCCCTCTTCTCCTCCACTGGGTGTTTACGGTTTGAAGGTAGATAGAACCAGTCGGACAAGTACGGCGTCACCCGAGCGGTGTTCGGGATTCGTCGTGAGAACTCGGCTGTCCTCGTACATGTAAGTCCACTTCGGGTGATTTATCACTGAGTTTGCGCACTGGAGCTAGGTGGGCCCCTAGGTGTTACCAAACCATGGAGGCGAGGGAGGGGGGCATTAAGGATAGTCCAAATCAACCTCTGTGAAATTTGTTTTCCTACATTCAACTTCTGCTTGGTCTCAACCATGTCATCAGGGGTCTCTCTTTTCCACCTTTTTTGCTATACTGACCGATTTACCCAAATGAAGCTGACCTAATAGAAAACCACATGACAAAACGCCATAAATCAAGTTATAATGCCCAAAACAAGCCAACCTTCTACTTGGAGAGTAAAGCAGCGTTACAGTTCATTCAACAATGTGTTTGTGTGTATGTGTGTGTGTGTGTGGGGGGGGGTATTCTTGCTTGCAACGATTTTGTGAACTGCTGGTGAATTTTGAATCAATCGTAACAAATATCTAGAGTAGTTTAACTGAGTGCCTGTTCTGGGATGTAGCATTTCACACATATCCTACTTCCGGGTTGCCATATTAACATGCGTCACCTTCCTGTCAAAGCCTGAACCACACAGGTGCACTTCTTTACAAAGTAGGAAGGCGGCAGTTCGATCAAGTGTCCCTGTTGTGTACTAAGTAAAGATTTGCCCTGCCATCTATGACTATCTGTAATAGAGAGGCAAAATGACACCACCAGATTGTGCAATGCACTTTTATTGCTGCTACAACTCTTGGGTATACAAAAAGCAAGACGCCGGCTCATACATAAGTGTTAAGGAAGATGAGTAACATGTAGGATAGGATAACTTGTCACCAAGATCTAAAAAAATTGGAGAAATGTCACCATCAACACAGATTCCAAACGGTGAAAAGTTTGGCATACAGATATGAGATTCGTTACGTTCACCTACACGGCTTTTACCTACATGACCCGGGTTCGATTTCAGGCCCTTTCTCTACCCACTCGTAAGGGTAGGTGTGCGCTCAGCCCACCTTTGGGTTGCCATAGTAACGTTGCGTCATGGTTTACTTGAGCCTGCCACAGTCTAAGGGTAAAACAATGCACTTCATCATAGATTCGGAAGGTGGCAGTTCCCTAAACATAGTTGAAGAGTTTGGGTAACACTATTACATACTGTGCTTATGATATTGTAAGGGTATTTGATTACTTGTGTATTCCATATGCAAGTGAGTCCACTTGCGACGCATGAAATATCACAAAAAGCTTTCGGAAAAATACATAAATTGTAGACTAGGTGTAACTTTTTAGAATTTAGCCTGATATGGCAAATGGCAACCTGAAAGGTTACCACAGCCGTCCCTGAGTTAGACCCTGAGTTAGACCCTGAGTTAGACCCTGAGTTAGACTGTTTCCAGGGCCTACGTACACAGGCTAACTCCTCGGCTCCCCCAGGGCTAACATGCTCCCAAGGAAATGCTACCGCAGCCCTCCCTAAGTCAGACTGTTTCCACGGCCTATACAGGCCAGCTGCACGGTAGGACATTTACGGGGTTGGACATAATTAGATATCCAACCTCGTGGATTGGGCTGGCCCTCTTCGGGGCAGTAGGAGCTTTCCACTGTCCAATTGCTCCAGATCACACGGTAGAAGTTTTACGGGTTTGAGCTTATTCAAATATCAAATTTTCATTGAGATATCCAGTCCAGGATTTGGAATTAATTCCCTCTTCATGACTGTAGGAGCGCCATGTGGCCTGGCACAGCTATAGCACACAATAGGATTTTTACGGGTTTGGTTTCATTCAAATATGAACTCTCGTAGATTGGGCTAGCTCTCTTCGTAGTGAATCCGTTTACGTGCAGAGCTTAGATGCCTGATCGGTAAAAATCATGTTGAGACTTGAGGGCACTACTGTAACCGCCCTCTTTCCATTGTTCTCGTCCACTGGGTGTTTACACTTTGAAGTTCGATAGAACTCGTCGGACAAGTACGGCGTCACCCGAGCGGTGTTCGGCATTCATCGTGAGAACTCGGCTGTCTTCGTAAGTCAACTTCAGGTGATTAGTCACAGAGTTAGCGCACTGAAGCTAGACGTTACCAAGCCATGGGAGGGAGGGGGGGGGGGATAAATTCGTGAAAAAGCTTTTCCCTGCATTTAACTTGTATTTGGTCGACATTGCCATCATAAGCTCATGGGTCTCTTTTGAGTGTTTTTCGCTATACTGGCCGATTTACCCAAATAAAACTGACCCAATAGAAAACCTGACAAAACGCCAGAAATCAAGTTAAAATGCCCGAAACAAGCCAACCTTCTACTTGGAGAGTAAAACAGCGTTTTAGCCTGCGTGCGTGCGTACGTACGTGTGTGTGTGTGTGTGTGTCGGGGGGGGGGGTATTCTTGCTTGCAACGATTTGGTGAATTGCTGCTGAATTTTGAATTAATCGTAACAAATATCTCCATAGTAGTGCAACTGCCTGTACTGGGATGTAGCACTTCACACATATCTTACTTCCGGGTTGCCATATTAACATTGCGTCACGTTCCTATCACACATCGGCCCGAACCATACAGGTGCACTTCTTTACAAAGTCGAAAGGCGGCACTCCGATCAGGTGTTCCTGTTCTGTTTAAGTTAAGATCAGCCCTGCCATCTATATCTGCAAAAGTGATCAAATAAAAAGTGGCTACCCGCAAACCTACTATTAGTCCAGGTATTTCCCCTCCAGGCACGGCTGGCATCAAACGTATTATAGTATATGATAAACCACATCGGGTTGCCACGTGTTGGGGAATTTTCCCTGCAGATCCCACCAACCAAATAACCAACCAACCAACCAACCAACCAACCAACCAACCAAACAACCAACCAACCAACCAACCAACCAAATAACCAACCAACCAACCAACCGACCAACCAGACGACCAACCAACCAACCGGACATGGCTTCAATTTTAGTTTTCTTTTCAAAAAAATGGCGTTGTTTGCGTTGGTATTGTCATTCGCCATTAATTCGGACAATGTTGATGGACTTGTTCTGGCTGGATAGCTTTAATCTAGCGTGGATAAAAAGGGTACTTAGTAAGCTGGGTAGGGCATGAGGGAGATCATAGGTCAGTGTAATCAGACAGAAAGTTCTTTTGTCAGAGTCAGTTAGCCTTGGTGAAAGGGAGGGTTGTTAAGCTCTAAGGCCGCACCTTCTTGGACCATCCCAAATACTTTGACCTGGTCAAATAAGCCAACTGAAGATAAATGTACGCAATTTACGGACATTAATTTTATAAGAAGATATGTGCAGGAAAACATCATGGTTTGACATTATAATATTTGCCGGGATGGGGGGTGGGACTGGTTTTGATAGAGAAGAACGGAACGATAAAGGTTTGTTAGCACAATGTACTGCCAAACACATGTACATCAGCAATTACTTACAAATAAATAGCTTTCGTGAGAACCATTCGAAATATTTGGGTGTATCAGGCGCACCTTTTGGGATCGTCCCATCTTCACATCTTTGTTGCCAGGCAACTAGTCACGTTGGTTGTAGGCGCGTCGTTCATCCTCCAATCAGCGTGAGGTTTACCCAGATAATTGAGACGCCTCTAAAAGCTGAAAAATTCTACCTCTCGCCGGACCCCCGCACTTCTTCGAGCGGCACAGCTGCGGTAGGAGTCCACACCAGAACCACAGACACTTTCAGGGCTACTCTCAACCCGTCACCTCTTCCCATTGCCACATTTTGGTATCCACCCTGACAAGAGAAAGGCAGGTAAGACTGTAAATGATCCTGCTGACTTGTAACTTCCATGAGCATATAATGTTTTCGTTTTGATACTTGTTTGACTCGCCGAAATGCCACACCGTGTGTCATATTTCCAACGCTTTTAACAAGGTGCACATACACGTATACGATCATAGCAAACGTATGCACAAGCACCGAAAAGACAAATGCACCTGGGACGGTAGTGGTTACTAATGGGCTCGGGCGGGTGTGCAACACTGAGCAAATGTACTGAACGTGCACTAGCACTGTAGACAAAGTGTTGAAAAACACTTGGATTGGAAAACCTAAGCAAAATAGCGCTATATGATCTATAGAAAAGGCAAAGGTGAGTCACCTTCCAGCATGTTGTAGACTCAGCCTTGCCGGTTTTTAGTGGGTAAGGCCCCCGGGCAACATTCGTTGTACGATGGCACTCTGATTCGTGGAACTCACTGGTTCATTATTGGGATAATCACAAAAAAGCAGCCGTCTCGTCACCGAAGAGGTGGTCTTACACGTATATGCTTGCCGGCGGCTGGCTGTGTTTGCTTGAAAATTTTACCACATGAAAATTGTACATTGTATCACGAATATGGCCGTGACTTGAACTTTGGCTGTTAGGTGAGAATGGTGGGTTGAAAGTGTCAAAATTTTTGCATCCAGCATCTGCTTAAGTCGACAAAAGAGTAGGTATAGTGATTCGCTTGATTCTGAAGTCACTTTGCTCTACAATATTGATCCACGCCAAAATTTGCACTTCACATACCAATCTCAGCATAGCAGTTTTCGTCTTTTCAACTGGTTGTGCTTCCCTAGCCTGGGCGCCAGACTGTTTCCAGGGCCTGCACAGGCCAGCGCCTTGGCTCTAAGGTCAGCATGCTCCCAAGGAAAGCCCGCGCCTCAGTTAGACCCTGGCTAACTCTTGGCCTAGCGTGCCATGGGCCTGGCATCCAGGCTACGACGCCCTGGGCCCCAGAAGCCGAATCTTCTAGAGACCAAATATGTACAGCGAGGCCGCCCCTCCCTAGAACTAATCCGAAAGGCCACGCCGTCGACTTTCTAGGAACCGCAACCACAGGGCATGCTCGGCCCCATTGTTTCATCGTGTTTTCTTGCATTCCAATACAACACGCCTCAGGCAACACTGTCATTACCCCAAGACCAGGTCCCGAAGGTTAGAGAAGCTTCGTGTCTCGTCGTAATCTCCAAGCAGATCCTAGGGTGTCTTAAGACAGTATCAAATTGGCCAGGCCGTATCCATCGGCCATACGCATTGGACCCTCTCTGGCCAATGCATACTGCCTGACCAATTTGATACTGTTTTATGCCACCCTAGGATCTGCTTGGAGATTAGTCTCGTCGGTGACATCACCACAAATGCGCCGCGAAGATTTCATTTTGTGTGAGCTCATTCTAGCGTGTACTTGGCAAGGTGCCTAGTATTGAGTAGCTGACTGTAGATTGATAGAACCGGTTCTGTCAGATCCAATGAACAATTTGCTAGTCATGCGATGGCATTAGGGATGTGATATGTAATCCTATACGTACGGTTTTCACTTAAAGAGGAATTTGGAGGACCCAGGGTCCTCCACCAATAAAGAAACTATCCCCTGTGAGGATCTAGTAGTTAAATTGACCCCGCACATCCTCCCAACATCATAAATGGATTATAAGCCACGGGGTGTCTGAACCCGACTGCCAGTGGAAACAATGGGAGCAGACGACAGACAGTGATTTGCATATTAACTGACGTTTGAAGTTTTGAAAAATGTTGTATTTTATCTTCACTAGTTTTTCAACAAAACATTGCCATACAAGGAATGACACAGACAGTTGCAGCAAACCTAAACACAATCCATGTAACATTTACTTGGCAGTCGTTATACACGATAAGGGCCTACAGTTTCCAATTTGAACCAGCAGAGATGAGCCTCTGTCAAGCTTCCATGTTTGTTTCAAAAACTTATATCTGCAATCACAGATTGCACGTCTTATCCACAGCCAAACTAGATTTCTATTGATATGATAGTTGTATGTTAACAAATATACAATGTAGAAACATGTAGAAACACATTTGGCAGCTTCTTGCATTATATATTAGAATCCAAGTCTGAAATGCTGAATAGATGAAGTTTACCAGGATTGGCATAGTACATGCCTGTGTAGTTATTAGTCTATATTCTTGTTGTTTAGTAAAATATTATATGTACTTTTCATGTACATATCCATGTCTCCACATAATGTTGAAGAGGTGTACTTGGTATACTATCTCAGCCTAGCTCTCCCCATGTGTTCACCACGGCTGCCAGTTGCAGAATGAGCTGTGAGAGTTTACAGTACCCGAATCATACGGTGGCAAGGCAGTATTCATTGGCCAGAGGAGTGTCCATTAGCCCTGCCACCGTATGATCTGCTTGCAGACTAGTTTTAACTGTCAACTATGGAGAGAGAGTGATTGGAACCAGCCATTTCAATATTTCAATATTTTCTTGTTTTATTCCGCCCCACAGAACCATGAAGGACTATCTTGTGCTGGTGTTGAGCTGGGATCATCCATGGTCGGTCGCTCAACATGCAGCGTCAACTTCATACCGTCTATTGTGCCCCGGGTTTCACTGTCAACTATGGAGAGTGATTGGTACAAGCCATTTTCAATATTTTTTGTCGCCCCACAGAACCATGAGGATCTACCTTGTGCTGGTGCTGTGCCTGGCCGGTGCCGCCTGCGGCAGGTCCGTACAGGAGGTGGAGAATCTGCTGGAGACCCTCCGAGAGGCGCTGGAGACCGTCGAGGACCGGGAGTATGAAGAAACGCAGAACAAGGCGCCGATAACGATTTGGGATAGGAGGGCTGAGGTGAGCCACACAATCATCTTCTTGTCATATTTCCACCAGGTGTTGTAAACTCTATAGTATAAAATCCGTTTGTCCTGATGGGTTAGGAGTAAATCTGCTCGCGTCGTTATTCCGTATTACATGTCCTGTAGATGTTCAGAAAACGACGAAAGTGAGACGACGAGATTTAGTATCTATTAACAAGTTACAAGGAGAGATTATCTTATAGCTTGTAATATGATTGTTTATCCAGGTTTTGCAAAGGGACCTCACAAACATGGAAATTGAACATTGAAAGAATCTCGAATATAGAGTCGTTCCCTTCTATACCGGTGCAATAGCTCAATTGGTAGAGTGCTCGCTTTGTAACCGGGAGGTCGTGAGTTCAAACCCCGGCCGGGTCATACCAAAGACTTTAAAAATGGTACACATTTCTTTCTCTGCTTAGCACTCAGCATCTATGAGAAAGGGTGTGGGAAGGTCAAACACACAGCACTACCAGCAGACCAGCCCCCCTGCTGTAGTGCATTGCACAACTGTGTGTCGCCCAAGGGCTACAGAAATGGATATGGGCACCACCCTACGCTCGGCATAAGAGCATGGGAGACCTTTCCTTTCCTTTTCCCTTCTATAGTTCTCAAAGATTGAAGTACTCTATGTGAAAAGGGGTTTCTTTTCTTTCAGGGGGAGACGGAGACCGTCAAAGTCAGCGAGAACGGCGTGGTCTTCGCCGAAACGATCAGCTTTGATGACGAGCACCAATGTGAGACCCTCCACGTGCCTGCGCACAACGGGCGGGCAGAGGTGGACATCCGCCACTGCTTCAAAGAAAAAGAGGTGAAATTAGTTCTTTTTGTCATTAGACTAGAAGTGATGACCTGAAATACTGCCCATGTTCCTTATTCCTTGTGATAGTTACTGTAGTAAAACTTATTGTAATAATTAACTGTCACAGCAAAACATACCTCCGTCATTTGCTGTCTACAGGTAGTGTCTAATAAGCACATCTTGTGAACTCACTTAGATATGTTGTAACCAAAGACGGTGATCCTGTTGATTTGGGAATTTGAGTAGCTAAGGTATCCAAATACACACTGTAGTAAGTAATGTGACATTAAAACCACAAACACTAGAAAACTAAAAGTTCAGTTCCATGCAGCTTGATTTACCTTTGCAATAAGCAGTTGTATTTTATAAGTCGTGCGGGGAAGTTGCGGGGAAACAACTTGGGCTCATCATCAGTGTACCCAAGACAGAGTACATGACGTATAACTGCAGCCCACAACTGCCGCTAGAGGTATATGGACAGCCAATAAGACATGTTGCCAACTTCAAATATCTGGGGTCCATGATGGCCTCTAGCAGTCATGACATGGCTAAGAGGAAATCTCTTGCATGGACTGCTTTTTGGAAGCTGGAGAAGATCTGGAGAAGTCCATCAATCTCCACATCCACTAAACTCAAGCTTTTCAACACCACCTGCGTGACAATACTGCTATATGGCTGTGAATCCTGGGTCATAACGGGGGCAATGGAGAATAAGCTAAACGCGTTCGCCACAGCATGCTATAGAGTCATGCTTAACATCAAGCGCCTAGACCATGTGAGCAACGCCTGGATCTACAAGTTGACAAACACTCGACCCCTTATCACCATGGTAAGGCAGCGTCAACTTCGTTTCCTGGGACATGCACTTAGAATGCCTGTGGGGGAACCATGCCGAACATATGCCCTGTATGTACCGACGCACGGCAAAAGGCGCCCAGGGCGCCAGCGACTCGACTACCTGGGCTACGTCCGGAACCTGTTGGGGGACACAGAGGGTGACCTGCGGCCAGAGGACATTGCCAACCTGGCGGCGGATCGACGGTCGTGGGGAAGACTTGTGGTCGACTGCTCCGCAGCCGGACGATGATGATGATTTTATAAGTATCTTTATAAGTAAATTATAACTGATCCCTGACAGCCATTGTTATATTATGTAATATTGCTTTGTATAGCACCTGTGAGGGTAATTGTCCTTTTTTAATGATTGAATACGTCAATTTTAACATTGTATCATATTGTAACGATCTTAACTGTGAATGTGTAACTACTTTAGTTAGACTGGCACATCTGTAAACCCTCACAATTCATCCGTTACGGCTGCCAGGAGGCTTTTATGTCACATCTAAAGGCCTAATATTAATAAACCAGTCTACTACTACTACTACTACTACTACTACTACTACTACTACTACTACTACTACTAGTACTACTACTACTACTACTACTACTACTAGTAGTAGTAGCAGTACTACTACTACTACTACTACTACTACTAGTGCTACTACTACTACTACTAGTAGTTTTACCACTACTAGTACTACCACTACTACTACTACTACTACTACTACTACTACTACTTCTAGACTAAACAGGACTTCTTCTTTAGCCCTCCCAGGATACGACCGGTATGTCCATGTACTGCCTGACCAAGAACTCCAGGTGTTACCTGCTCCGCTTGGCAGAGGAAGGAGAGCCCGGTCTGAAGGAGCAGGAGAAAGGCGTTGATCAATTTGAGGTACATCTTTGCTTCCGCTACTATCCTTAAGTCCAGTGGTGTATGTGGAGGAGGGTGCTTGATCAGAAATACTCAGACTTTGCGTGGCCATGGTTTGTATGTAGCAGGTTTTGTAGCGTCTTTACAATGGTGTGTTATCTTGGTGACAAGATTAACCTTCTCTGCGCTACAGTTAAACTCAAGATTGTGCGTGTACTCTGTGTGTGTACATGTGTGTGTTTATGTGTGTGTGTGTGTTTGTGTGTGTGTGTGTGTATGTGTATGTGTGTGTTACATATATATATGTGTGTGTGTGTGTGTGTGTGTGTGTGTGTGTGTGTGTGTGTGTGTGTGTGTGTGTGTGTGCTGGTGTGTGTGCATACCCTTCTGTGTGTGTGTGTATCTGTGCATGTGCCCATGTGTGTGGTGTCAGCGTTGGCTCATGTTGAACATAAATGGATCCCTTATACACTTGATATATACAGAGCAAAGACAACCCCGTCCTGGACGCGACGGGCATCGAAGTCCACGCGAACCGCTGGGTCGTCACCGGCGTAGCAGACCGCTCCAAACTGCCCGAAGTTCTCGCCAGCTTCAAGCCCGACTTCAAGGTCTTCTTCGCAGACCACCTGGGTGACGACGCGGTCATTCTGACAGACGATGGCGGTGACGAGACTGGTAAGTGATAATCTTTAGATAAACCATTTATTGAAAAATGCAACTCAGATAAACCATTGTTGTGAAAGAGCCCGCAAATTCCTAAGGATACCCAGTCTGATATTGAATAAGAGGCACAAGTTTTACTTTCATTTCAGGTGGATGTTTGTATACAGATGCAGGTTGCTCTAAACCACACAGTCACAAACGGTTTTGGGTGCTTTCTTATGACTAGAAAATAACTGTTCTTGTAAAACAACAGTTATCAAAAGACTATGGTAGGTCTTCGAGGGAGGTGGCATGGATTGACAATTAATCATTTGGCGATAGTAATATGTGCACTCCATCACTTTTGTTATTTGTTATTTTCAGACGACAAGCGAAATCTGATCCAAGGATGTCCTAACGGAGGCATCCCGCGGCCTATGTACGCTGTGAGCAGCCCCGCTGGGTGTGAGTACCTGGTCTTCTGTCCGAGAGATTCGAGCGGGAACGCCCAGTGTCCCCGTCGCCACGTCACCGACACCTTCTTCATGGTAAGTTAGACACAAATACCTCTTCCAGAAGGACAGGATTAGAGTTAGCTATGAGCCATTGGTTTTGACAGGGAGATGTGATGATGGAATAGACTAATAGCTCTCATATATCGTCTAGTCTAAGATCTTGACATGTTGTAGCTTATGACTGTTGTTTTAATCTGAATCACACAGTAGTAAAGCGCTTCCCTAGCCTCCTACTGGGCACAGCCCACTAATTCCAGCCCCTATTGGAATATATGGAAAACATCTAAGAACTGAGCTGTCAACAATCACCTACTTGAGTGTTCAACTATTGCAAACACATATTGACAGGGTAGTCCAACTTCCAAATTGTCCATTTAGTCCAAAAATTTCACTTTTTGACCAGCGATACCTGGCACGGCAAATGCAAACACTGGCAGCATGACCTCTGACCCCCTTGAAGACCACCAAAAGACAAGAAGATGGGATTAGTTTTAGAACCTACCAAGCAGCCAAAACAACCCTAACAGCCAGTTTTTTCAAGTTGATAGAAATAGAAATAACTCTCCAGCTGAAAAATGCCAGCATTTATCCACACATACCAAGAAAAAGGCTTTTTCAGTTGGTTTGGCTGCACTCACTCAAACTGGGCCCTCTGGGCATGCGCCATTTGGTGGCCTTTGCCCTACTATATAGTCTTACAGTGTGGGCTGACACAGCACAGCATGTATTACATAGATATGACTATTTCAGAATATGCGTGCTGCAACATTCTAACCTTGTATGCTAGCCGCTAGTAGCCTGAGTGTCAACCTTGTTAGCTTTCGTTCGCTCCCCAAGATCTGCTCCCCGCCAAGGATCGTTACGAATGCGTGCGGGTTCAGTCTTGTTGGCGGGGAGCGGATCTTGGGGAGCGGACGAAAGCTAACAAGGCTGACACCCAGGCTGAGAAGCTAGGGTAGGGTTCCACCTCCAGATGTTGTGATGTCTTACTGTAACACGTTTTCTCGTTGCAGTCTTGCCTGTGCTGCCCCGGTGTCACCGACAGGCATAAGTGCCTGTACTGCAACAATCTGAACTGCAACTTCGACCAAGGCACCGGCGTTTGCTAGGCCGGAAAAGACAACTGACAGGCGTACCTGTTATTGAGCAAAATGCAGCAGCCAGAGACACAAAACGTGTCCAGGTGTAGCTTATAGCGGGAATCAGGCTTTGAAAGCGCAACTTCTTGGAAAACAATTTCCATGCTATGACCTTTGAAAATTACTTATACATTGTACCAGTAAAAAACTATTTCAAGCTAATGTTAGAATTCATTTCATTTATTAGAATTAACTTAAAATCACCTGGATATGTGATCTACCACATCTTATCATTATAATAATTTGTTGTATTCATCAGTCCATTCTGAATGGCATTAGGATCTTATCACTGAATAGTTATAAATCCAACAAGGTGTTTTATTTCCAAGGCTAAGACAGGGACAACTAATGTCAGTATGTGTACTTACTTAATCACCGTTTAGGATCTGTGTTTATTGTTACATTTCTCTGAAAGAACTTGGTGACAAGTTATCCTGTCCTACATGCTACTCACCTTCCTTAACATTTCTGTATGAGCCGGCTTCTTGCTGTTTGTATACCCAAGACTTGTAGCAGCAATAAAAGTGCATTGCACAATTTGGTGGTCATCTCCTATTGTCAATATTTGCTAAAGATGGCAGCGCGGATCTCATATACTCACTATAAAGTACTTTAAATTTTGAGCTGTGGCACCTTGGTAGCTATAGGCTCGGGAGGAACGTGACGTAACGTTACTATAGCAACCCGAAAATAAGCTATGTATGTACATCTCAGTTCAGGCAGTTGCACATCTCGAAATATTTGTTACGATTAATTCAAAATTCAGCAGTAGTTCACCAAGTCGTTACAAGCAAGAATGACCACACACACACACACTCATGATCACTCACACACACACACACACACACACACACACACACACACACACACATACACACACAGACGCACACACACACACACACATGCATACACAAGGGCACGCGCACGCACACACCCACACCCACACACACACACACACACACACACACACACACACATGCATACACAAGGGCACGCACACACACACACACATACACACACACACACATGCAAGCACACACAGGCACACACACACACATATTTATATTTTGAGACTCGAGGACACTTCTTAACACATCCTCTTGTGTTTCCATTCCATTGAGTATTTACCATCGAAGGTCGTTAGAACCGGTCGGACAAGTACGGCGTCACCCGAACAGTGTTCGGGATTCGTCGTGAGAACTCGGCTGTCCCCGTAAGTCAACTTTGGGTGATTAATCACGGAGTTCACACACTGACGTTACCAAGAAATTCTAACCTAAAGCTCTGTCAAATTTAGTTTTTTTGCATTCAAATTCTATTTGGTCAACCATGTCATTGTGAGCACCAAGTTTTTTTGGGGGGAGGGGGGCACTTTATGGCCAGGGTTGGATTCTATTACCTTTTCTTTCTCAATTCTTAGATTGCTTTGCCCATAGTTCAATTCAGTGACATGACCCACACGCAACAATGACTGACAAGGTCTCTCATATTGTGTATTTTCTTTTAATGCCAAAAATCGTGTTACATAGAGCCGCAAAGCTGATCTATAGATTCCTCGGGTTATTATAAGACGACAAGTTACTAAGACCGTTTGGGTAGGCAGGATGTGAAGTTGTGAAAACTAAATGAAAAGAACAATGACCAGGTCAAACTCTAACCAAATAAAGACATTAAAGTTTAGGGATGGTTGAAGGAGGATCAATTATTGGAAAAGCCTTATAATAATTAAATGAGGCAAAAGCAACTAAAATCTATGCGGCTGATCTGCAGTCACGACTGGAAGGCCAGGATGGTGCTCGGCACACGCAGGATGCGGTGGGACCATCGTCATTCCGGGGTCCTGTTGGGAAACGAAAGAAATATGGTAAAATGTGAAACGGATCTTACCAAACGTTTCTACCTTCCGAGGAAGTCTACTGTAGACGTTTTTTTTTTACCTCCGGGAACTACTCCGCCGGGGGCGAGTCCTTGGCTATGGCCAACTCCTCGGAATCGATGTACCCGTCGTTGTTCTTGTCCATGTTCTTGAACCAATCTTCGGGCAGGTCGCTGATGTCCCCGTTCCTCAAATCCTTTAGCACCTCCAGAGCCTCCTGCTCGGACAGCTTCATGTCCTGGTCCGCGTTGTTCACGGTGTCCAACTCGCCGTCGTCGGCCTTGGCGTTCTCCTCCCGGTAGATGTTCTTTCGTTCCCCACGCAGCAGGCCGAGGAGATCGCGGGCTTCCTCAGCCACCCTGATGAAGAATAAAGGTCTGTGATGAATCAGGTAAGTAAATATTGTCTGGGTTCAAGTTTTCCGCGGAAATACCCCTATCACCTAGAAGTAGGATGTACAGCTACGTGAGTATTGAGTACTGCGAACTAGCAGACTTGATGTTTGCTTGTTTGGTTTGGGAAAAATATTGCAAGATCCATTTCTGTATACATTGTTATACAATGTTAGATTACCGCTCAGATCTGTCGGCGTTGTTTCCTTCAAACCCGCGGCCGGACATGGCGCTCTCTCCTCCCAGCAACTCCAGAAGGCTGCGGGCTTCCTCGGGATCTTCCACGGACCTTGAAAACATGGTATAAAGACATGTAAGAAAATTATTCGGATCAGAATTTACAGTCCAGCAAAGTCCAAGAAAGCAGCACAGATTGTAAGAGTGCCCGGGTCCTTGCTGTTGCAGCCCGAACCGGAATCACATTTTTTTTTTATTCAGAAGCTCAATGAGAATTACAAATGAAAATACATGGACTAAGTGACTGCGAACTCAAGTTAGGTACAACTTATATTCTCGCAGCCACTTTTACAATGAAAGAAAAATATTTTACAAGACATTTGAAAATACATGAGACCTCGCGTGAGTAACAATCCTCCCATCCCAGAAAACACATACAGTTAGAATCTTTTTGTTTCTAATATATAATTTTGTACGGCTAACATTATTTTGCAGTTGGTGTCATACGAACAAAGGAAACTACCGCGAAGAACTAAATATTGTATGGAATTATCAGAAAGAGTGTTTAAATCAACAATACTACCAAGTATGCTTGAAAGCTTGCGAAAAAGGACTAAACGCTGGTAGGTGTATATAGGGCAGTGCAATAAATAATGAGCAATCGTTTCATATGGACACCCGCAGCTACAGGATGGGAATCACATTACAAGGCAGGTCACAGATTATCTACATAACGGTACTGCTCAGAGGATGGTCTCCGGACTAATGTTAATTTCAACGTACCTTGTTTTGGTCCTGCAGCCTCCTTTGCAGTTACACCCCCACATGTTGCACGGCCCGTATCCGCAGTAGGGCGTTGGCTGAGTGTGGGGTTGAGATGTATTAGTTTTGACCTGATCTTGTGTATCACAAAAACATTTTCTACCCATCTGACCAATGAATAAAGACTGGTATGGACAATCGTCGCCATTTTGGTAATTACCAGCTAAAGTCAACAGCTAAACCAACGCAGCAACGAATTCCCTTCCAATGTTAACTTGTACATACTGCAATCTTCATCAGGTTCACATGACTAATCACGGACACGTGACATTATGGGAGGTTTCTGGTTTTAAAACAAAGCCTTACAACAAAAGATAGTGATGCATACCTCAGTGCCGTCGCGACACTTCAGTTCGCACGTGTAAAAAACCGAAAATACATGTTTGCAATTACTATCCACAGCACGGCAACATTCCATTGAGTCTGCCTGGTCCACCATCAGCATCATCAGGAGGCCGGTCAGGCCCAGGAGCATCGCCAGCTTGCAGCCCATTGCTACGTATACCTGCCGAATGAAATATCTAACATTACCTAAAGGAGTACTTAACTCCAGAAGGGAGTGCTATATTCCGACAGACTTTAATTTTAGGAAGTGAAAAATGTTTTTTTTACTTTACAGTATACAAGAAGATGTGACCATTATGCGCGCAAGTCTTAAAACGTACCGAATCCAGGAAAAACTCCCCAAATACCCTCTAAATACACCGTGCTACCCCATTGGTCTTGACCAAGAAAGTTACGTTACACACTTAATTTAAGAAAAATCGAACTGTTTTGTGGTCATATCTTGCCAACCATCGGCCTTTTTAGTGTTCTTATCGCCCCTCATTTATGCCGAAAATATTGACGACAAAAGAAGGCGTAATTATGGGTTCACCACACCACGAAGTGGTGTGGTGAAACCATATTGCTTTTTCTGATGTTTCTTCTCCTCCTCCTTCTCCTCCTTCTCCTCCTCCTCCTGCCATATCTTTAAATGGATTCAGCTTCTTCATTTTAGGGCCTAAGGTCCTGAAATTTGGTATGGAGGTACAGTGGGCAAATACCCCTAGGCGTTTTTTAAATTATTGTGATACAGGCTTTTAGAATGGTTTTATTTGAGTTTTTTGGCTGTGTTATAGCAAATGTATTACTGTGTTAGTCTGCCTTGTTTACCACGTTTGGGCATGAGTCATCACAATGGAATGCAGGGCATCAACCAATAGGCATGCAGCTTTCCTCTATACTTCTTGCTGATTGGCTGTTGGGATTTAACTTGATTAACACCTGCACAGAAGCATTTCCATACTGACAGTATGTCTGTATTCAAGTGTTTTGGTAGGTATTTCAAGCTTTCCTGCTCCAGCATTGGAATGCCGGGCATGGACGTTTTTTATTTATTTTGAAAATCAACAGTTTGCATTATGCAATTAAAAATCCTAACCAATAAAGTAGGGAATAGCTATCCAACTGTTGTTTTAGTTGTATTTTACTTCATATTATAGTTATATCAATGTAAATCATTGTTTTCCCTTGTGTTTCCCATTCTTTCCCTGCCATGTCGTAAAATGTGGTGAACCCATCGCTGTATTTGCTCTAAAGCAAATATTGGCCTTTCTAGTCTAATTATCTTTTCCATAAGTGGCGTAATATCTAATAATCGTCTTTCGGCCTGATAGCCCGGTATGGCAAAATCAGTTGAAAAGACGAAAAGTACTGCTGAAAGTGGGCCCGCATGGTGGAGTGCAAATTTTGCCATGGATCAAGATTGTATAGCAAAGTATCCTTTTGCCATAAGTATCAAGCAAAACACCCGCCCTAGCCGATCAGCGCTCAGCCCCTTGGCCTCATGCCAAGTGCATGTGTCTATACGGTGCAATTGGCTCCACGTTCAGTACAGTTGCGCAGTGTTGCACACCCGTCTAGGCGAATTAGCAACCACTGGCTTCCCAAGAGCACACGGTGCTAGTGTTACAGACACGCCATAGGGTCATTTCGGTGACTCAAACACAATATTAAGTATCAAGAGGAAAAAGACTGACAATGAAAACATACATTGCCATGGCGACGGTGGTTGCTGTTAGGGTTATTTTTCATGATTTTGAGGAAGCCTTGGTACCCTCCCCTTCCCTGAGTGTATAGTGAACGAGCACCAGGGTCACAGAAAGTACATGTAGGGCATCCGGGGGCAGACAGGTTTCCCAAGGGTTTCCAGGAATGTGGGCATGTCAACAAACAGAGCTGGAAGACATTCCTGTGGACATTGCATACCTGTGGACAAAATGCCGGTACCATTCCAAGCATTCTTGCGTAAACTGCACACGATACTGTACCTCCCTGAAAATGTTCTGCTCATGGAAGTTACAAGTCAACAGGATCATATACGATCTTACCTGACTTAACTCTTGTCAGGGTGGATACCAAAATGTGGCAATGGGAAGAGGTGACGGGTTGAGAGTAGCCCTGAAAGAAAGTGTCTGTGGTTCTGGTGTGGACTCCTACTGCAGCTGTGCCGCTCGAAGAAGTGCGGGGGTCCGGTCAGAGCTAAACCGTTCTACAACTTCTGGGAATGTCTTAATTATCTGGGTAAAACTGGAGCTGATTGGAGAATAAAAGACGCACCTACAACCGACGTCAATCGTTGCCTAGCAACATAGATAAAAATAGGCGTTATGAATAATTAATTAGTTCCAAAGAAGAGACGAACCCACAAGGTGCGGTAAGAAACACCCAAATATTTCGAATGGTTCTGAAAAAAATTCTTTTCTTATGTAAATTGTTGATATACACGAGACAATCATTAAATGTGCGACATGGAACGCCCAAATATTTCAAATATTTCCGAGAAAGGTTTTTTTGGTAAATTGTACATGAATTTGGCAGTAATAAACGTTTACCTTTTTTTTCTCTATCAAAATCCGTCACATCGCCTTCTCGGCGTTTATTTCAAAACTGTAATGTTGCACCGTTGATTTTCCCTCTAGATGTCTGCTTTGGAAATTTTTGTTAGTAAATTGCAAACATTTATCTTGGCTCATTGGATCAAGATAAAGTATTCGGGATCTCCTAAGGAGGTACGTCCTTGAACTTCTAAAACGCCCCCCTCCCCATCTGACTAGGTCTGATTATGTGCACACAGGGACCTGTCACGCCATGA